AAAGTGATGATGTGTCAAACCTGTAGCCATGCGATTCAGTATCATATCGTCAGAGTAAGACCTAGAGAAGCTATCTGACAAGACTGCGAAGCTCGCCATCATCACCCATATGCTATATGATATGAAAACCTTGTGGCCATCCATTCAGTAGTTATATTCTCGTTACCTTGACTACATTAGACATCATCCAAATAGCTCAATAAACTGGCCAGCAAACCCACCGTGAGGTACAACACCATTTCGAAAAGTTCCGGTCAACCATGTCCAAAGCTAGAAACGAGGAGCAACTTTTAATCCCCTCCGCTCTGGATAGGTAGTGACTAGCCATCCGTGAAAATACGAGAAACCCAGTTAGTCGCATTGACTATGTCTCTACTCGCATGTGTGTTTGTGTAGTGATTGAAGTCTTGGAGCACCTAGATCCTACTGCCAACTTTCCCCATATTCGGCGAGTGGACTGAAGAGGCGAGCTGACGAAGGGTGCAGGGTGCTGGTCTAGTATTGATTATCCGGTCTACTTACTCCTTCAACAATCGACAGCCTACAATTTTAGATATTTTGACACGGGCATGTTGTACAAAACGAGCTTTTTGGAGGGCCAATTCAGTACTGGACGATCACCATATAAATTGTTTTAGACAATACACAACACAAAAAACTGTAAACATCAGAAGTGTAATTCAATTGATGTATCATAATCGGGCATGGCAAGATATCCCATTCCCCGTTCAATCCGCCAACATGTTCATCTCCTCACAATAATTCTTGCTATGTAATACTACCACCACTACTTCATAACTTGACGACTCCCGATCCCGCTCCCGCTATCGCTATCCATGACTCCACCCGCTCGCTAACAGCAAACATAAGTTTCGATCCAATGCAGAAGGCCATCCCACAACCATACGTCCACCCGAAAGAGATATCCATTCGTTCGTTGTTCCAATCGAAACATCAGGGGCCATTATCATTGAGAAAATACACCGTACCAAGACGAGAAAATTGAATCAGAGACCGAATGATCGAAAAGATCGAAATGCAAGAGGGTAGACCCGAAAAGCATAGCAGAAGCTCTAACTTGCAACCAAAAAAAACCATGCCAACCAGATCAAAAGAATTGAATTGCCATCCCTAATACAAAAACATGATATGAGAAGTCAAGCCGTTGCTTCTGAAGAATGAACAATGATATATCTTTTTTTTTCGCATTCGTAATCACAAGAGACGATAAAAAGCAAACGCTTCAGAAAATACGCATAAAATAGCTGAAGGTATTAAAAGAGACTATAGAGATGTGACTTGCAAAACGTGAATGCAGGCTGTGACAGGAGTAGTTCTAGCAGTCACTATTGTGTGTAATACATCACACCTTGTTGCTGCGGGTAGTAGAAACCATCTGGGCTTGGTGTCATCATACCGCCCATTCCTACTACACCTCCTACTTGTTGCATAGGATATTGTTGAGGTTGTTGATAGCCCGCTGGGAAACTTGGAACGGCTGGGATTTGTGCGGCATCATAATAATACACCATTCCATTGACTTCTTGAGCAACCAAGTTTTGAGGTGCTTGTGACGTCGAAGCTTCAGTGGGCTGAGGTGCAGGTGGATTATATGTCTGTTGTGATTGCTGTTGTGCGGGTACAAAAGGAGTCGTACCAACTGTAGAAGCCATGGGTGCATTAAAGGTTTGAGGGTAGTAATATCCTTGTGGAGGTTGCAAAACGGGATAAGTTTGTGGGTAGTAGTTAGAGGCTGGTTGTTGATAAGGGTTAGGTTGGAAAGCCGGTGCGTGAATAGCCCTTTCTGGAATTTGGGACAATGGTGTACCAGTTGAAGCTTGACTTGGATAGGATAACTGTCGGGAATGTTGAACGTTATCATGCGAATAACTGTTTCCATTAATTTGAATGGGAACCTGTTGATGGAATGGTTGTTGGCTTTGCTGGGGAGGATTGAATGACATGGATGCGGGTGATTCAATATCGGCCAGAGAGACAGTCTTCTGAGGCCGAGGTTGATGCATTGGAATTGTATTTGGACGGTTTTCCCGAAGTGTTGGCTTCTGGGGGAGAGGATAGGTTTGAGGTTGTGGAACATTGTCGAGAGAAGAGACCTGTGAAGATCCATTAGCTACTCCAGGCTCAGGTGCCTGAAATTGTTGAGGTTGAGCATTTTGGCTTGATGGTGGTAATTTAACCACGGGCCTAGATGAATCCATCGACATTTGTGGCCTAGACATCGTTGATCCACTGGGTGAAACGAGGGTTTCTCGATTGACCTCTCGTGCAAGGGACGAACGACGACTCATAGCAACACTTGGAGTGTAAGTACTTCCGTAAACGCTACCACCAAAAACGCTTGTACGTCTCGAATAACCACCGACGGATCCAAGACCAGCTCTGCCTCTTCCACGTCCACCAAACCCTTGTTGATTAGGTCGCATAGCTCTTGGGATGAATATGAATGATCTATCGACAGCAGGGAATATGTAACGTGGTGGATGATCAGGTAATGATATTCGAACAGGTTTATCTCGACGAAGTGGTGGTCGATGATCAGGTAGACGCGTATATTGCTTCACTGGAATTCCAGGAAATAACACAGGGTTTTCCATATCTCCAAAGAATACACGGATTTGTACATTTCCAATGTGCTTCGTAGTGGAAAGTGATCGATTGAGAGGTGCGGATTTTGGAGCTGGAGCTGATCTTTGGGATCCATTCGAAGCTCCATTTGCAGAGGTTTGTACGGGTTCAGTTATTACTTCGTGCATGTCGTGTGCCCATTGAACATCGGTGGGTTCTAGAGGTTGTGGAATGTGACTATATAACGTTAGCAAAATTGCAAAAGCACGAAAGGATTGATGATGATATACTTGATAGGTGCATATGGCCCTCCAATACCGGGCCGACCCCGACCACCTCTGCCCCTGCCAAATGGCCTAAAACCATTCGCCGCAGGACCAGCATGACGATGGTCGTGCATAAAGAATGCTCCTCTATTTGGTACAAACGCTGGATCCGCATCTCTCTTTTTCTTGTATTCTTCATGTTCTCTCCTCCGTCTTTCATGAGGCTGTTCTTGTTGACGATCCATTTGAGCAGTAGATGTGACGATAGCTGGTGAGGGGGTATCTTTGGTCTCGTCTTCTCGAAAGTCTTCAAATTGTACTGTTTGTACCGGTTTAGAGCTTTTGGGTCCGTTAACCATCATTTCCATATCATTGGCACCATTTATGAACTTTGAAGCTTCAGTAGTACCATTGCTAGCTTTTGTTTGACCACCATTCAGCTTAGATCCATTCCCATTCATCTTGTTCGACTCGGACGTCTCATTTTTTGCAATGCCGCCATCGATAGGTTCGTCGCCCTCGTGGATATCTTCATCCTCACTCATTATCGAGCCTTCTGATAAAGAGTCATCATCAAGTTCAGCAATATCTTGAGCTCCTTCATCATCGCCTTCGTCCTCAACCCGTCTTCGTCTTGCAACCAAATCTCTGCGTTGGCGGGAACCCATTTCGAAGAGCTATTGAACGTATCGGCTGAGGTTTGACGGGCTGATGGGCGATGCTAGGAAAGTAGTCAAGGGAAAGAATTCGTGACAGATCATGCAGTGGCGTCCAAAACGGGGTATGATGCAGCGCCCGCGCTCAATGGAAAGTTATGTGCGATAGCGAGCGGGATCTACTTCTATGTTCTGATGGATGTAGAGGGAAATTGTAAAAGGCGAAACCTGCACACCGGGATTGTATGTGTTGAGATTAGAAGAAGGTATGATGTGGTTGATAGCTCTTTCCTCGTGTAGAATTAAGCATTAAAGTTTATCAGAGGCTGAAATCCAAGATAGGTTAAGGTTAATAAAGGTTACCTTGCGCTTTTCGATTTCTTCGGTGGAAGATTCGATTGAAGACCGATCATCCATGGAATTAGTAAGCACGCACTCGACCACAAGCACAATGGTGTGAACGGTGAACCACCACATCATCACATAAAACCTGGGGCAATGAAATGATTGATCAATCATTGACGAATGGCGGGTTTTGCAGCCATCACCACCAACCATCCATCGTGTCTAATGTTTACTATTTATATCATATCGTCATTACCTATCCCCAGGAGCAGAGTTATATCCTCAAAACGATCATACACCTGCATCACCTTCTCGTATGAGAATCGCGATTCATACTCAACCTCCTCCAATAGCATAGGACTGTACACGTCCAGCATACAGACGGGCATTTGAACCAACACATTCATGCCTACTAGGTACTCTAGAACATTCTAGGCAAGGCCAACAACGAGACGTTGTTGTCAACATGAACACGCCTACTGCGCAAATTTGCAGTTCACCGTCGAACTTCTCAAGTATGCATGAAATAGCATGGAGGAGGATTGGTATCTTGGAAGAAGTGTTGAGATCTGATATACCTACCCATGTATCGTGTCATGTGTCCTTCTGTGAACAAGGCCAAAATTTCCAGCTGGTTGTGCATTGAAAGTCGCACGTGTTCGTTATTTGTCATATTCCAACAGTTTCTGCTGTACTTTGACGGGTTTCATCAAGCTCTGCAAGCTTTCTCCTACGTCCTGATTCATCCCATTTCCATTGTTGAAAGAAATTTCCCCATCTGGTATTTTCAAGTCACGTGTTGCATGGTTTGAAATGGTGCTAACTCCCGAACCGAAAACGGCATTGCCGGTTAGAGTTCCATTCTTCTTTCCAAGGTTGTAGTAATGATCGTCATCGTTTTATTATTTAGTCATATCTTGTGCGTATGTACGAGTAGTTAGCTTAGGTACTTTTCGACTTGTAAAATCCTTTCACCTATCAGATGAACACAATCAGAACAATATATTCTGTATACACTTCGCACATAAGGTTATCAACTTCTATATTCATCTACTAGCGATACAATCATGTCCCCTACCGGAAATACCTTTCTCCATAACACTCTATCCAGGTGATCGTTAATTGGACTAGCTAGCAGATGAATAAGATGAATAAGATGAAACGGACAATCGACAAATTCACATCGAGTATTTAGACATTGAATTTGCGGGGGGTTAGACATCTATAGACTTTGTAGTTCGCAATTGACACTTGCTTTCGTCCATAGGTATGTTCTGGTTCTATATGACTAAATAGTAGTTTCCACTTCTTTGACGACCTGGCCTTCGATCCCAATTTGTCTCTCCCTCGCTCTCACCCAAAACCACATTTGATATTACTTCTCACTCCCCACTGATCGCCATAACTTCTCAATCCAGAATTGGCTTCAAGATATCATAAGATCCTTCGTGTTCAAGCTGAAGGCATGTACGGAAAATGTGTGTGCTATATTGAAAAGAGTTCACGATTGGTAGGTCATGGGGTAGTCTAACCCAGAAGTTTATGATTAAATTTATTCTCGTTAGTCGGCGGAATCTGGCCGATTGCGTGTATACAAGATTGAGATAATATTTTCGGATCTTCTGCCTGTTATGAAACAGGATATGGAGTATGGTATTGAGTTTTTTCAGAGACGCGCGAGCTCGGAAGGATATATGTTCAATATCGAAGCGCACCTTATGAGGCACAATTCAAAGACTTCGAAGCCGATCACTCTTGCGTCGCAGCCACCAGGAGTAAGTGATGAAAAGGTTCAGATGGAAGCTCGCACATCTTGGCATCTTGCCTCTGGGGTATGTCAAGCTCCCTTCAGTTACAATTAACCAATTATGAGTGACCTTACTTTATCACATAGCCTTGGACCTTTGAGCCACTTTTAAAGATCACACTTCTCTTGACTCGGTTTCTATCGTTCTATTCTCGCCAACAAATTTGACATTTGTGCTATTCCCATCACTTCGAATCCAGGAATTGAGCGCTACATTTGGATTCAACCTCCGGATCTCCAACCAAGAACCAGAAATACTTCAAGAAGCCTCTGGGCATCACAACAACGGTTGTGATGTAGATACGAACAAAAAGAAACCGACAATCCTCTTCTCAGCTCATGGAAAGAGTATTAGGCTATAACTAACGATTCTGTACTTTGCCTCAAAGCAACTTGGAAACAACATTGATGCTAAGACGAAGCCTCATGCTGTGAACAAATACCAAGAATTTCCCCCGTCGTGCATAGTCGTTTATAAGAAGATAGATAAGAAACTATCATTCAAGCATTAATCATATTGAAGCAGAAATAAACTGATGCCATTGATATACTCGCGAAACTTGAATAATTGCTATTGCATTCATCTCTCTATTTCCTTTGATCACTTTGACTTGCTTATATTTAATGGGAATGATTAAAAGGCGGATTTATCTCTGGATCTCTAGATCAATTTCAAAGTTCTAAAGCTTGGGAGGTGACCATGGAAATATCTCTCTTGTCTTACTCTCTTCATTGGCAACATAGCCAGAATAAAATGGGATTTTTTACTCTCCAAAATACACACTCTGTGCCAACTGCTCCTTCCTTATGCCATGAGCCCATTTCGGTCTCCTCTAATCGTATGGGCACCGCCCAATACTTCAGACGCCTCGAATAATCTCTGCGTTCAAATCCTAGACATGTCAAACTCACATACGTATTTCTCGTTTCTGGATCGGCTCACTTCTCTCAGCTCAGGTATCAGGTACAAGGAACGCCAACTTGTAGTAATATCTTGTCCATCGGTACTTGGTCTTCATGCAAATATTTTCACCTTCGATACCTAGGTAGCTAATAGAATCTAATCATGGGAGTCAACAAGGTACATTGAGAAGGTAAACGAATAAAGCTAGCGTGCTTTTCAACTTCCCCGCGACGACACCACTTCAACTTCCTTTGCCTTTACCTTTGAATCTTCTTAACCTTTTAAGATTCGTCGAGGATTCCACATTTTCTTTGCCCATTACCTTCCAAATCTTGACAGATCGACCACTAGTAGACGTCTCGCATCTGATTCTCAGACAATTTGTTTAAGCTTTGAATAAGAGTCGAGGTCTTTCAATCTCCTTATTTTCAAAATTCACTTTCTCTCTAAAAAGTCTCCGCAATTTGTTAAAGATTTTATATCACTTTCATAAGAAAATCCAATTCGCACGCCGTCGATATGCATTGCTCCGACCCTTACGCTCGCACCGAATTGCCTGGCTCGAGAGATCCAGGGAATCTACTGTCCCCCGTTCTCAAGCAGGAAAGAATTAGTTCACCCACTTTCTGCGATGATGAGAATATTACATCTTCTTCGTTCCCGGCTTATGCAGAAACGGAAAGTGATCGTTTTGTTCCGGATAACCGTTCGCATTCTAGCAAGCGTAAAGGTACGCTTGACCATGCTTATAACTTTGTAACCGCGTCATTTTTAGTACTAACATCTATCTTCAAGGCAAAAGAAATGCTGAGATAGCAATCCCAAGAGGAAGAAAAAGAAATGCTCGCAAGTCTTACGTTGAAGAGGCCACGGACAACGGGGAAGAAGAATTGGAATCAATTCTGGAGAGTGCACCTCACAGCAAGATGCAATATCAAGACCAAAGAACAAGATCTAGAGGTATATCCAACCATACTTTTAGTCATTACATACTGTGTACAAGTTTAAAATACATTACTAATATTTCTTTCCTAGGTGAAAACATTTCAAGTGTAGCCACAACGGCTCCCCCTTCGGAGAACATTACTATGAGCTTAGATATGTCTACTGGTTCTTCCAAAGGTACACTGCTCTCAGGCTTAGCATTACGAGATCGGGGCTAGATGAAGCTAACTCAAATACAGAGCCACATATCACTTTGACAATACCAGCTGCGTTCCAAAAATACCATGTTACCATCATTCACGGCAATATCACTTCAAAGTATACGGTCAATGGTGAAGCCACTGCGTCCACACCTCGACATGCCCCAGAGATTTAGCTCAATGTTTCCGAGTATCTACCTGTGAATCCAACAGAAAATGAAAAGCTATTGAAGTGGGAATCGATGGGTTTACTGTCAAGCGTTTGCGAACATATAATGCGCAAAGCAGTCATTCTTCCTTTGTCAAAGGATTGGAAGTAGGGTTGTAGTCGGTATGATAACAAATTTGATGTGGAATGAAAAGTACGTGGGCTCTCGAACATAAATTTTATACCAAGCTAGCACAAGTTCTAGATTACCACCGGCGGATGGAGACACCTTGATCACGAATTGGCTCAATACATACTTCGAATCTGAATATTCAAAATCACTCTTTCAAGCTTTCTATCTTTCTTTTCTGGTCCTCAGAATCGACGTCTCCATGTACTGCCAATTTTCTTCTTATCGTGGTCGATCCAAGTATATGCAAGATCTTACATGATTCAGCTCCACAAAGGACATAACTCAAGTTTTACGCATATTGTCTTCTTTTCGACAAAAGTGTTGCTGAAAAGAGAAGTTAAGTAGAACCTGCTGTAGATCCAGATGGAGGAAGTCAGGTTAAAGTTGATAAATGCACTTTCCTCGATTTGATGTGTCTGGTGATTTTGCTTTCTTCTTGAACGTGAACATGATAATAATGGTACATCCTGAAAGCCCATCACCGTTATGACTTCCGCGTATTATATACCTCATATAAGACCATGGATATGTAAGACTTACAATACGGCTCATCGGCTCAACGGAATCCGGCTCTCCACTAGCATTCATGCAAACCTCCCTTGTCTCGTCGAGTACAAAACCTACCCCAACCCACGGGTATGCCCCCTTTAACTCTTTCCACTCAAATTTCTTACATCATACTTGAGTCGTAGCACTATAAACCAAACGATTAGGCGTAGGATTACCCGGGCTTCTTATAATCCTAGAGTCAGCTTCCAAAAGGATTAGAGGACTAACCTCAATTGCTTTTCGTTTAATTGTGAATTGAAGGTTACGCAAAGATTTTGATTGGATTTGGGTGTAGGTTAACCTACGAATGGAGAAATGATGAAATGAAATATTGATTTTTCGTATTTTTTTTTGGATAACTTTTTAATATCAAAAGAAAGGTGTGCCCAACGGTGAAGAGCTAGGAGATTTTCCATGGCCAGACTCTCCCAATGAAAATTCGGAGGGGAATTCGGAGATTGAGATGTGGCGTTGTGGCTCACAAACCGTGGCGTTGGATTCGGGGGCCATTGAACTACGTCGAAACACATCACGTGATTTTGAGTAGTGCAAAGCTAAGGTTAGGTGCCGTACCCCACATTGCTATCCACATCTCAACTGAACAGTGAACACTGCCTCTTCTCTTACCTTTCTTCTACTCAATTGAATCACACAACCCACCATATCATCCATATTCGTTCGAGTCCGATATAGATGACATGGTACATTGATATGAGTTTCCTGAAATCTCCAATTAATCTATTTCATTTGGTTTCTTTTCAATGACGGATCTGCATGTTCCCCTTTATCACTTGCATGAAAGCGCTGTTTGGGAAATAGTTCTTGGCTTTTCATTTATTCGATGAACTTCTCCTTATCACCAACTACTTACGCCTCTCCGAGCTTTTCTATTCAAAACAAAAATCCCATCATAAACGAGATTGGATGAAAGGTAAGCGCGTCTATCTACCAATAGGAAAAATTGAAGCGAGCGATTTGTTTCATCACCATCGGATATCGGTCCAAGGTAGGCTTGGAACTTCGGATACAGTAGCATTTCATATACATGAAACGGGAAAAAGCTAACGTTTTTCGGGTGTCCGCAGAAATCCGTAAAGCGTATTGTCTACACCGATTGGTTTCTCTCCAGACAGATCGCATAAACGACAAGCATCAATCTACCCGATCTTTGAACAAATCTGCGGGGTTAACTAGAGTTCATTTCCAAAATTGATTAAGGATCTTGTTCGGTGGAGTCAAATTGACAATGTTACTCCATAATTCAACACTAGTGGACTCAAATAAAGTTAACCGACTCCTTTGGAAACATGAATATTGAGCCTTGTCATCTCCGTTGACACTCTATCCACTTCGTCAATCATTGCGATTAGTTCGCTTATGATTTTTTGCTTGTCCAGATCAAATGTGGTCATTCCTTTCATCCCTTTTGGTAGATTTCTTCTATAGTGTTTTTACCTTGATTGAACGTTCGGCGGTTGGCTAAGTGGCCAAAACGAGCTAGAATTATGTCGCTCAATCTAATTCCCTGATCAATTTCTCAGAAGTTTATTTCGAATAAGGTAGAATAGATCCACTTCTATTCGACTCCTTTACTTACTTTTCAAGAGTGAAGAAGTGTATATAAGGTGGTGAAGTACCTCGATGTATTTATTTTTTCATCATCACAGTCTTTGTACTTTTCTACATTCTTTTATTCTCGTCGCTCTTTCGCAATTCACATTCCTTATTTTCACTTTACATTTCTTCAAGATGTATTCCGCAGCTGTGCTCGCAACTTTCTCCTTCCTTCTCGGCGCCGGCGCTCAACAAGTTGGAACTTCAACCGCCGAAACTCATCCCGCCTTGACCGTTCAAAAATGTGCCGCTGGTGGAACATGTACCGATGAAGCCGATAGCATCGTTCTTGATGCTAACTGGAGATGGCTCCATTCCACTTCCGGATCCACCAATTGTTACACTGGTAATACTTGGGATGCCACCCTTTGCCCAGATGCCGCCACCTGTACCGCCAACTGTGCCCTTGATGGTGCCGACTATGAGGGAACATATGGTATTACCACCAGTGGTGACTCCTTGAAGCTTAGCTTCGTCACTGGAAGCAATGTTGGTTCCCGTACCTACCTCATGGACTCTGAGACTACCTACAAAGAGTTTGCTCTTTTGGGTAACGAGTTCACCTTCACCGTCGATGTTTCCAAACTTCCTTGCGGTCTTAACGGTGCTCTTTACTTCGTTCCTATGGACGCTGACGGAGGAATGTCCAAATACTCCACCAACAAAGCAGGTGCCAAATACGGTACAGGTTATTGCGATGCTCAATGTCCACGAGACATGAAATTCGTCAATGGTACTGCCAACGTTGAGGGATGGGTCCCAGACAGCAACAGTGCTAACTCTGGAACTGGTAATATCGGATCTTGCTGCTCCGAGTTCGATGTCTGGGAAGCCAACTCCATGGCCCAAGCTCTTACCCCTCACGTCTGCACTGTCGATTCTCAAACCGCTTGCACTGGTGATGACTGTGTCTCAAACACTGGTGTCTGTGATGGAGATGGATGTGACTTCAACCCATACAGAATGGGTAATACTACCTTCTATGGAAGTGGAATGACCATTGATACCACCAAGCCTTTCTCCGTTGTCACTCAATTTATCACTGATGATGGAACTGAGACTGGTACCCTTACTGAGATCAAGCGTTTCTACGTTCAAGGTGATGTCGTCTATGAACAACCAAGCTCTGATATCTCTGGTGTTTCTGGTAACTCCATCACTGATGATTTCTGCGCTGCTCAAAAGACTGCTTTCGGTGATACCGATTACTTCACCAAGAATGGTGGCATGGCTGCTATGGGTAAGAAGATGGCTGATGGTATGGTTCTTGTTCTCTCCATCTGGGATGATTACAATGTAAACATGCTTTGGCTCGACTCTGACTACCCAACCAATAAGGATGCCTCCACTCCAGGTGTTTCTCGTGGATCTTGCGCCGCCGACTCTGGTGTTCCAGCTACCGTAGAGGCCGCTTCCGGATCTGCTTATGTTACTTTCTCTAGCATCAAGTATGGACCAATTGGATCTACTTTCAAGGCTCCATCCGGTAGCTCTTCTGTCACTCCAGTTTCAAGTGCTATTGCTTCAAGCGCTCCTATTGCCTCAAGCTCAAGCTCTGCTTCTGTCGCTCCAATCTCATCTGTCGTCGCCGCCATTGTTTCTAGTTCCGCCCAAGCCGTTTCTAGCGCTATACCATCTGTTGCTAGCTCCGTTCAAGCAGTTTCTAGTGCCGCTCCAATCGTTTCCAGTGCCGCCCCAGTCATTTCTAGCTCTGCTATCTCCACCAAGTCCAAGTGTAGCAAGGTTAGCGCTTCAAGCACTCTTAAGACTTCTGTTGCCGCAGCTCCAGTCACTAGTTCCATTGTTATGGCTACTAGTGCCGCTAGCTCTGCTTCCGCCCCTGTCTCTTCAGCTTCTTCATCAACTGGTTCCGTTCCTTTGTACGGTAACTGCACTGGTGGAAAGACCTGCTCTGAGGGTACCTGTGTCGCTCAAAATGACTACTACTCCCAATGTGTTACTTCTTCTTAAGAAGTTACAATACTGAGAGTATAGATCATTGTAGATATTGTTCGTTTTTTGGTCAATAGTCTGGGAGATGAGTTTTAAGTTCAAATTTTGTATATATTAGCAATTGGCGTGGTATATAGTTTGTTGGTTGGGTTGAAGATCCACTTTTAGAGATTGAAAAACTAGAAATATAAGATATGTGGTTTTATAAAATTTTGAGACTTTGTTTGTATGTAGTGATTTTGTGACATGACGATCCTATGGGACTTTTGTTTTTTTCTTTACATTCATATTTGAAGGATTTGACTCCATCCAACTCTTAAGGCCTCTGACTATTAGAATACCTCAACATTCTTCTTCTTCTTCTGTTAAACTAGTCTTTTATTTCTTTGTCAGATGCGATGAGTCTCTGGGTTTGTCTTATCTTCTCTCTTCCTTTTTTATTTCTCCTCTGTTTTCATATTGATAGGAGAGGGTGGGGAATTATATGTTCTTTTTGGGGGAAGGGGGGGGGTAAGTGGATTGATGGATAGGTGGACAGAGGACCTTATATCTTAGATTTGCATCTAGACTTTGATATGATGTTGATGGAGGGTTCGAACTTGAACGGAAGTTGAAGATTGGATCGGACGGCGGTTTGAATTTGGAAATTGTTATATATTTTCGGAATCGATAGAGGGAAAGATATTTATATGAAGAGAGAGGAGGAGGATTGTGAATGATTCGAGATGTGGATGATTTGAATTTTTTTGGAAAGGTTTGAATGATTCGGAAAGATTGAAAAAATTGGAATAGTTTGACAGATTTGAAAGTACTCTGCTATTTTCTTTCCAGAAAAGAGGATTCGGCGAAGCGTAAGTGCGTCTGATTATCACCTCTTTCCATATTTTGGAAAGATAATACCCGGAATTTCGTTTGTCCTTCTTAGGGCCAGTAATCCATCGTTCTGCAACTCCTAGGCGTAATATAGCATCCGGATGATCATCTGCCCAGATAAATGGATTGAATCGCCTCTGCCTTTCCAACCCCATTTGGTCAAGTTTTCAAGGCACCGCATATTCTCGTCTGCGTGATGAACTTCATGTAACCTCCATAATCCTCAACACGCATTGTTGGACAAGGAAACTACTGCGTTGAGACTCTCACGATCACGTATTGCTTTTCAACCACCAACACCTACGGCTCTCAGTGCCGCTGCCATGCTGGAAGCCTTATTAGACAATCCAGACTATCAACCGCGCAATCATGAGGATGGTTGCAAGTACTTTGGCTTCAAACTAGATCTAGTTCAATCTCATTTCTCGACCAACATGCCATCGATCTTCCTCCAAAGTTGGCAGATAATTGGCACGAGACAGGTCCTTGGAACATTGGAGAATCCAAAGGTCAAGAGATATCTCCTCGCAGATGCTACTGGCCTTATCAAGATAATCACAATCTACGCAGTCTGACTTTCAAGTATATATCTACCATGGTGACGAGCGCGAGATCTGGAACTCACAAAAATATTGCTGGAAAGGTCACACGTCGTCATCCGTTATCCAATGGCGAAGAGGAAACATCGAGAGTTGTGGTGATTACCATCTTGGTCACATGAAGAAATCGCCATGGACCTTCGACTTTGGAAACTTTCAGGCTTGCTAAGACGAGCTTCACTGAAAAACAAGCAAAGGATTGCTTGACAATCAACGATCCGCAATGGGGGTTTAACTTGGCAGGTCTCCTCGGGTATGTCATCATCGACGAAGCCATATACTCAAAAATGCGGACAGAATGGCACATACTTCTGTGACCTGGCTTGAACCAAGCTTCCAGATACTAGCAACTGTCACTGTGTTGTGTAATCGTATAGAATTAGCCATCTTCTCTTTGGCGTCCAAATCTGCCTTGCGCTTGCCTTGAGTGACAAGCTTCTCCAACTTCATCTTATCGTGGAAATGGTTCAACGTTGCTTGTATGGTCAAATTCGTTTCGAAAGGTGTTGTAAAATCGAAAGAATTCTTGCCATTTTGAGTGGCTCTCCGCCATGCAAAGTTGGGACCGATCGAAGGAGTAAATTTGCGGGGTAGATTGAAAGGTGGAGGTGGTTGATTGAAGACTGAAGCGATGTTCGCAATATCTGCCGCCAGATTGGAAATTGGAGATTGTGAAGTGATCTAGGGTGTCTGATAGTCTGGGCCGCAGTTCAAAAATGAAGATTATCAACTCCCCAAACCAATTAGGTTATTCAAATTATCTCAGATATTGAATTTGATTAGGACATTGAACTATTTTTAAATCTCTAACTGCTCTTAGACATTCAACACCTTATATTGTTGGACTACAGTCCAGATTATTGGATAGTCTGGCGCTGAAATCTCTGAAGGGGAACGTGTAGAGCCGTCGATCGAGTTCTTCTGGGTTTTGTGTGCAGAAAAGGCGCGTTTGGGGAGGACACTTCTTGCGTTATCTCCAAAGATGTTAATTGAAGATGGGTCATATAGCAGAGAACCTTCGGTGGTCAAGAATGAGTCTCCTGCTTTGCGTTTTTTAGCAGCAACAACGTCCCGGTTTGTCTTTCCTGTTGCTGATACTATGCACATCCAAAGTCTGACCTCTTTCCCTGGTATACTAATCTGCCTATCTCGAAATAAGCCGTTTCTCGCATGAGTATTATCAAAACAGAGCCTGTGTAGACAAAAGGCATAATGGTCTACCTCATCCCAATCCGACTTACCGATACGCAGACCCGAATACTTCTGATCCCCATAGTTCTCACCATCAGCGATAGCTTGCTGAACACTCTTGAGAGACGGTCCTTTCGATCTTGGAGCAGTCATTGTTCTTGGGTAGATGATGTTGTCATACAGCTCCGTGAAAACTGGTAAGAATTGCGGTGATTTCGAGAAAGTTTGCCACGGCATCGTTATCTGGAAGGCCGAGGTATGGAGCCATACGAGAGAGACTTTGATAAGTGTGTTTTTCTATAAACGTACCTGTCACTTTGTTGACTTTTATAGTGTAGAAGATGCTACAGGGAAACCACGTTGCATCTATATATTTAATACAGGCAATGGCCCCTGCCTTAAATACCTGCGTGGAGGTTGCTGGCTTTTTTATCATAGTGTCTAAACTGCAAAAAATTATTTGAATTGTGTTTAAATGTAAATTGTATTTTGAAATTTACATTGTATATAAGATTACATTGTAATCTTACAATTTATAGAAAATCCGAGAGATTGAACAATGAAAAGATAGATTCTGATATCAAATTATTGAGAAATGGACTGTCTAAAATCTCGAAAGTTGAGAAGCATCCCGTCAGTCCATACACACTGGTGATTCATCTTAGCACATTATGGAGGTATGTTTCTGTCTCACCACCTTGAATTTACCATTATTGATCAGTTCATTTCACCCATATAAACAAAGCGGTGAGACAAAAACTAGGGTATGTACTTCAGTATCCCATAACACTCATCACCAAATTTGAACAGGCAAGAACGTAATGTAGTATGTACTTGATAGATATATAATCCCGACTATTCATTTCGAATCATAGACATGTACAAACATCTCAAACTATATACAACAGAATAGAATTTTCCTTATCTCTCCCATCCCTTAAACCTCTTTCATTTATCTACTTTAAGCAGAAACACATTGACTATAATAATCATTTTGAGCCTTGCAAGTACTTCCACTGACACAAGTACCGGTTCCAGTCCAACTCTTTCCTCCACATTGCATATACAAAGCGATGTTTCCCGAGCTACTTCCTCCAGTGCTAGTAGCACCTGCGCTCGAAGCGATAGTAGTAGAAGTGGTTTGGGTAATCGTCATAGTGACGGTAGTATGTGGCTTCGAGCTAACACCCGCAGAAGTTAGAGCCATTGAAGAACTGGCAGCTACGTTTACATTTCCCGCCAAACTTGATGCAATTGCAGAAGCGGAAGAAGCTTTCTTTGTGCAAGACTTCTTGGAAGTGACAAAAGTAGATGGAGCGGCACTGGAAAGGACAGAAGAAGAAGTGACAATGGCGGAGGCGATGTTCTTTGTGCAGGATTTCTTGGCCGAGCTTGATGGGGAGGAGATAACTGAGGATTGTTGAATTGCGACGGCAATAGACGTTGGCGAAGATTGAATGATCGATGATGAGGATAATTGAGCGGCGCTAGAAGAAGGAATCGAAGAAGAAACGACTGGACTAGAAGAAGGAATCGAAGAAGAAACGACTGAACTAGAAAGAACAGAAGAAGAATCTACTGACGAGGTTGCAGAAGAAGAAGAACTCGAACCCGAGGCTCCCCCTGGTCCAGCAATACTAGTGGTGAGCGATCCACTCTCGATGTATACACCAGAGAAATAGAAATCTTCAGTCCCATCAGTTTGACCGGGCACGGGAAGTTCGAGAACTCCCAAATGCCAATCTGCACCATTGGAAGAGGCGGAGACTGAAACGGCTGGGACTGTAAGAGTGAGAGCATCGGACCCAGTGGAGTGGTAAAATTCAACTGAGCCTGCGGAGAAATCCTTGAATAGAATATTAGTACATGATGAGAACGATAGAAAGAATCCAAACATACAATTCCGTACGCAATGTTGTGCCAAACACCAGCAGTCCAGTTAGTACTCCATTGACTAGTTGCACTAACTTCCCATCTCAAAAGAGGATCACTGGATCCAGTCTCTCCACTAATCCAACCACTCTTCATCTCTGTGAAATGACTCTCGAAGAAACAGATTTGATGTTCTCTGTTAATACTTGGTGCATTGGTATCTTCACGCTTCATACTGAAATGGTAGTAAACCTTTCCACTTCCAATAGCAGCAGAGGTTTGAGGAATCAATTCTGTACGACGCATGGTTTGACCTTCCCAGTATGAGGTACTATCAAGAGTGATTTTGGCACCGAGGGCTGATCCGGAATCGGCAGGATTCTTGTAAGTGCTGTCGAGAGCAACATAATCGGTAATGTTACCTGTACCATGCTATTTGTTTGTTAGATATCATTCATACCACTCAAGTCTTACAAAGTATACTCACGATATAATTTTGGTAATCACCAACAGCGTTACTCCATGACCAAGCTTCTAAATCTGCCATGGAAGAAGAATCGAATCGTCCATCCCATAAGATAGCACCATTTGCGCTAGTCGCAGACCCAATAAGGGCTGCCAGAGCCTTCTTTGAAAAATGCATTGTGTTTGATTGTTATAGAGATACTTCAAGTACCTGGTTGAATATCCACTGGATATGTAAAAAATTGTGTTTGAGAAAAAGAATGTAGAGAAATAGAAAGCAAAGTTTAAAGAGTGAAACGAACTGAATAGCACACAGGACAAAGTTCAAAGAAAAGATCAAAATCGCAGAGAGGAAATCCAAAGTTATTATAGAAAATCATACATTTTTCTCGCAAGGCGATTTGAGTGAAGTCTACCTAAGTAGTTACTACGAAACAAACTAAGCACCCGTTGTTCGGAAACTTTTGTTTGTACCTCCAATTTCCCAAATTAAAGTGTCATCATCAAATAAGGAATCGTTAACCGCCCAAACCTAGACAATTACTGACTAGGAAATTCGTAGTAGGTGTAAACGCCGAATGAAGTCAGATGAACAATGCATGTTGTATAACTGGGGTATAGAACGGAAGATTCATGAAGAAATTAGATGAAGTTTTGGTGGTATTTATGGCAGGACGGTCCGGATATGATCATTGTCTCACATATAATATTTGGTTTGAGTTCATCTGATTCGGGTCTTGAAGTGGGTTTGTTGCTTATGTTTATGATGCGTTTATCCGTGCTTGGCATTGGATAGAAGATTGAAAAAACGAAACGGAGAATCCAGAATCCTAACTCGGAACTCGTATGCTGGATTTTAGATGCTGGATATGTTTGTTTCTTTTGAAAAGGAGTAAGTGTGTGTTGTATATATTTGAATGAAGGGGTAGATGAAGGATTAGCGATAGGTACTTCACCTATCATCGCTTCGCTTTGGAGACGGCGGCTTTATTGAATCCCCCTTCTTATGTCTAACCCCTTCACCAATTTCTAGACTTCATTCCAAGGAAATGTATAGTCGATTCTCACATCCAACCGTTGATCACCAACTTCAATCCCATTCTTCTCCTCCTCAACACATAGAACATACGCCGGCGGACCGCCTGTCCGCATCCCTTTCAGCAATTCATATATCTTAACGTATACCCCCCTCATATATTTCCATTCATAATTCCAATGATCGATCGATTCAACCACACATTCCAATCATCCAAATGAATCCCTTCCTTTCCTTTCCAAAAGTTAATCTAATGTGGAGAAATAATATCCGTCAGATATATTAAGAACCAGGATTATTCGACGCATTATGAAACATGAACATGGTTTTTCAGATCTTAGGCGAGATTCTTTCGATTGGTTGGCCCCCGGATCTTTTAGCCGCTGAACATGCTAAGGCATACACGTGATGTGAACACACGTGCAATTTGCCGAGCCACTCTCGAGCCACTGTGGCTTGCTCGCCTTGAGTTCTAAGTTGAGGCGTGAGGGGGAGAAGTGATAGACATCAAGGATAAATGGATAAAATCAGGCTAGAACGATGTTTGTGTAGTACTATTCTTCTCACCATCAGCAGAAATCTCAAACATCTAAGCATGATTATCGGAGAATAATAACGGGTTCAACGGCTTCCATACTAGGTAGGTCAAGCTTGTCTCGTACTTAGCAAAGGCATCTTTCTTCCTTCAAAACGTTGAGCCATTTATCCATTTGTCCATATATCCATCATATATCATCGAGACAACAGCCAAGCACTCCGACCAAACGATGTTTGCTTCGATTCGTAATCACTACAGAGTCCCGCATCTGCATAGATATGTATGCAGTACATAAGTATACTCAAGCCCTCTCAGCTCATCTCGAGCCCTCACAAGGCTGCCACTATTCAAACCATCATTATCAATTATCAAATCAGCAAGCAAACTTTCCACGCCGATCTCCGGAGTATCAGGTTTGATACTGGTAACTAGCGGGGCGTTGTGTAGGAGGAAAGTCGCTCAAAGCTTTCCATCATGTCAAGTGTCTACCATGTCAAGTGTAGTGTAAGTTACATTTGTACTGCCTGCTACGCAAGCTATACGAGGCAGATTCGCTGGAATCTTCGAGGCGAAGATGCGAAGAGGCGAAGCATGAACTTACAAATCCTAAGCACGCAAGAAAAAGTCGAGGATAGGATTGGATAGGATATCACATTGCATTCATATGCACACAGCTACCGTTGCAATCCACAGTCCCCTATCCTATCCCTAATTTACATCCGGCAAACCTCCTTAAATCGGAATCCAGACTCCAGTGACAAAGTGTTATCAGATGCATGCATGTATGTATAGGTATGTACAAACCCTCCTACATTCTCGTTCCCTTTTCGCCCCCACACCATCAGCCGATCGAATGAATTATCCAGCTCGATAGCTATCTATCTTCTGATCTTTTGATCTCATCCTCTTCTTGTTTTAGTCCCTCGACAAAGTTTGTCTAGATTTGCATTGATGCATTACACTAATGCTGTAAAGAGCAACTATTCAAGAATCGATAGAAATTCGCGAAGTCTAGCCTACACACACATTACAGATAACTTCTCTCAAATTCCCACAAAGATCAATCTAGACCCCCGACGTCGGGAACTTATTCATCACATATTAAATCTATATTGAATCTAAAAGAGTTTTCAATCTCCTCGAGGTACCCCAGTACAAATAGTAATCCCACGGTGTCTCGATATCAGATCCTCCTAGTCTACCATCCATCCTTTCCTTCTTCCCGGGGAATATTTCCCCGCACACATACCTAGCACCGAGTAGGAAGCTTTCCGCGGTTTGAGACCTGAATAAACCTATTCAAGTCATGATATCTAGTCTCGGAAACATCTCTTCACCTTCCGTCGTATTTTGATTCGAGTTTGCAAGCCGAATGTTGTGGCGGAAAATGTCCACTTCGGTCGTCCCGTTTCATGTGCCGTGAATTTTCCTTCCGCAAAAGTTGAACTACTGCTAATGAAGCCGATGATGTGAGCCTAGAAACTCTATTCCCTCAAAAATCCCCTCTATTGAAATTGGTTTCTCTTCACTGTCTAAAAAGTTCGCAACGAGTATGCCATTACCATTATTCACCCCAAACTATCCACCATCTTGCAAGTCCGCTCCTCGGAAGCACTAAATTAAGCAGCCAAAAAATTGAATCGAGAATTCTCAATTCCACTATCTACCTATCTACTAATTACACATCATATACCTGATGGGGGTTTTGTTCGTATCTCCTATGCTATGCTATGCTATGACTCCTCTGTTCATCACAAGTACTGTTATGCCGCTGTTTCCCACCACTCAAAAACAATCATAACCCAAATCCCACCCGCTGAAATACCATGCATGCAAAGAAAATTATGAGTCAAAGAAAGAAAACTAAACTAATGTGCCCCATTTGTTGATCATCAAGCAATCCATACTCCACCATGCATTTTTGACGCCCATTCCCATCATCCATCCATTCATTTGATGTATGCGCTCAATTTAACCCTCCCATAAAAACACGCAGAAAGAAAAGCTTTTTCTGAACTCTGCACTCCAAAGCCAAAGAAGGAAATGAACACCGGATATCTATCATCAAAGCACTTGAGATGTTTTATGTTGACTCTTGACGAAGTACATCCAGATGAAACAAAGCAAGTGTTCATGTTCCTTGGAAAATCAGACGTAATCTGAACCATCCCCTCCGAATTTGCAAGTTGAAAAAATCCCTTTGAGTGACCACCAATATGATACCAATGTGATTAAAGAAGTTGGCTGATGGTCATCGTCTGATTGGAGTTTCGAGGAGAGTAGTGAAGAAGAGACCGTAATTTTCAGATTGTAGTTGTTGTTGTTGTCATTGCAAAGGAGATGATGCCAAATCAAGCAGAAGCAAGGCGAAGCAAACTTTTGAATGAATGCGATAGTCCGATGTAGGAAAGAACCATAATTAAAGAAACCCGAGAAGATAAAGCAAGTAGCAAACATAAGTGGTAGATGGGTATCATAAAGCAGTTTGTATGCGCCCATCCGAAAACATTCGTCCCAAAACCGAAAGGAATCAAAATCAAAATCAATGTGAAATATATTAGAAGACTTAATCGCCTTATTCGTATTGACGGCGTCTGGCAGTATTATCCTCATACATCTGGTTGCTTCTCATTTGAGGATTTTGTTGGGCGCGTCTGCCAGTCGATTGAGTGCGTTGCTGAGTAGAGAAGTTACTACCTTGACTAACTGGGCCTACGATAGGACTATTGGCAACGCTGCTACCAGCTGGAGATTCTTGACGGTATTGTTGCTGTTGACTAAATTGACGACGACTTTGTTGTTGCTGTTGTTGCATGCCATAAGAGCTTTGACGGATAGCTTGTTGACGGGGATCATTCATTTGAGCAAAACTTGATTGTTGGTATTGGGGAGTAGAAAACTCAACATTGCTGTTAAAGTTTTGGGAAGACATAAGGTTTGGAACCATCATGTTTGGTTGCATTGCATTTCGACCAACCATCATGTCAGATTGAGAACGTTGGTGCGAAGGGCGAACACGACCTTGCATACCTTGCATGCTCATATTCATGCCCATATTTCCACCGTTCATACCGAAGCCAGTCTCCATATGTTGAATTTGAGTTTCGACTTGGTTTTGATGAATTCCCAACGGACGAGCAACAGGTGCAACTAATGGTGGTTGATAGACAGAGGAAGCGCGAGCGTGTGTACGACCTCTAGGAAACTCGAAATCATTATCAATGACAGGGGATTGATGATTTTCATCGATACGATCAAAGCTTGTGTTGAAGGCGGGCTGGAATGAGCGGCGACGTTCGAAATTTGATGGAACGGGTGTAAATTGCAAGTTTTGAGTGTTAACATCGTTTGAATTAGGACGACGACGCTTCAAGGTAGTGCTGTATGTAGGGACTCCTCCATTGTTTGGGCTTTGAAATTGGACTGGCTGACTCATTCTACGATCTTGTCCTGAAGGAGTACCGTAATTTTGAGCCTTCATCGCACTTACACCAAGAGACTGGGAACGCTTATGACCTGCGGAAGAGACCTTGCGTTTGGCATACCCCTTTGGCGATTTGGGTTCGTCTTGATCGACAGTTATGTTCGGTAAAATTTCAATGTCTGGGAAACATGGTAGAAGATCATCAAGAACCTCTTGATGGAGGCGGTTGAAGATTTCGAGAATTTCCTCTGTGGTATACCCAGATCCAATGACAGAGAGGAGCCAATCCGGAACAGCAGTTGGTGGGCGCGGACCTTGATCCTCATCGCCCTCATCCTCGTCATCGAATCGTCTCTTTCGACCAGAACCCTTAAGTTCATCCAAACGCTTCTGCTCACGCTTTCTGATGGCAATACCCCAATCTTTGATAGTACCAGGCTCGCCACGACGCTTATTTTGTGCAGACCAGTCGTAAACCCGACGGATTTGCTGTTGAACTAAGTCGCATTGCAACTTAGCATACTCCTTAGGGTTACGATAACGGGAGCGTTGGTAATGCTTGCGACAATAATGAACCCAAACAGATTGTGGAATCAATCTAGTGCACATCTTATTGCGACCGAAGATATGCGAGATAGCTTTGCGGGGTTGTGATCCAGTGTCACAGTTCCGAATGTACATACACTCCGGAGGAGTGTCTGCATCAGTTCCATCTGCTGGTGGTGGTGTGACTGGATCACCGTCCGCATCCTCATCATCATCTAATGGTGATGGTAAGTTTGCGAGACGGGTTGAATTAGGTGGAGTGAGCTCGGGAATAGGACCAACACCAGATGCTGGAACACGACTTGGTCGACGCAAAATTGGTGCAGAAATATTTCTCTTGTGCAATGTAGGATTCATAGCACCATTATTGAGCTCGATAGGAGCGCTGCGATATAGATTGCTACTACTAAACTCATGTTAGTCAAGTAGACAAGTTGATTGTAGAATAACATCGGATTGAAATAATTATCAGACTAAAAATTATTGCTTGAAGGATTAACTTACTGATCTGGCTCGAAACCGTTATCACTTGGATCTGTGTTTAAACGTGGCAAATCCGGGCGTCTGATCAACATAGCATCACTTGGAGAACCAGGTCGACTCTCCGATTCTCTAACAGAATCAACCTGATCTGAAGCTCCTGGAGCAGCAACGACACTTTGAGAACGAGCATCGTTGTTCTTAGGAGATGAGCGAGATGATTCTTGTTCTGCTAAAGCAGCTAGAGCATCTAGGCTTTCTGTTGGACTAGATACCATGATGCTAATTTTCCTCGTGTTGTGAGGAGAAGTTGGTGCTGAATGCGATTCGACTTTATTTTGGGAGGTAATAGAGTAAGAAGAATTTAAATCTATGGAGTTTTCCACGGCAAAATTGCAGTACTTGTGTGAAAAACTAATGGGATGACTGTTGTTCGTACTGAAAGAAGATAATCGAGAATGGTTCGAAGAAGAGGTGGCTGTTGAGTTGGTTGTTGATGTGAAAGAAGATAAACTGCTCCGGCTATCAGAAAATTTATGATGGGATCTTTCAGAATCTGTCCCGTGTGAATCATAACAGTGAATTCTCGGATTGCCGTTGTTCACCGTACTCAACTCATTTCCTGTACCGAGCTCTCCGATATTAATCGTACGATTTGATGTATTGATTGGTAGTGAATAGCCATTTGCGTCCCATGGTGTTCGATTTCTTGATGGTAATACGAATCGCTCCCCTTGACGCTTCTGCTGCTCAGCAGCAGCGCCATTTGAATTCAATAAGGATGTTACGTCCATCTTGAAGTGAAAGAAGTTATAAACTTTCAATTAATAGATCCTCCGCGCTGCAGGGTATTGTTTCTTTGCCTTTCAAATAGGCCTTCTGGCAGTGAATCTTCCTTTCTCCAATGCCTTGCAAAGTTGCGAAAAGGTTTAGAATCAGTATTAGTCTTTGTCGAGTTGATATAAAGATTGATTGTTGAATATTCAATTCAAAAGAAGGTCGAGGAGGATATGTGGCAATAATGTATATTGAATGATGCAGGTTGTTTCAGAGTTCGTACTGAACTAATGGACTTGATTGACAAGGAGTATCCCTTGTTAAAATTGACTTCGATGGAGTGATACTGTATATAAACAGTGGTGCTGATCCAAAATGCTCTTGCGAATTGACAAGGCTAAACTAATTCTTGGATCGACGTCCGACAATGCATTGACCTCATCGGACACGTTCGAAACACCTATTATGAAGCTTTGGTGTATCGTTGATATCGTCCAAACATCTAACCTGATGGAACTGATTTGCGGATCTCCTAAAGTCCGGAGGAAACAATGAGATAATTCTATGCCTTCAAGTCTTGTCGAAACGTTGAGGCTTTCCAGCTTGGACGATAGCTATCTGTTCGTTTGGAGGTTTGATATATCAGGCAAGGCGAGAATTTGACAACTTTCGAATCTCCCAAGTGTCTGATCTTGTCCTTTGATCTATAAGTTGAACTATTGTTAATAGGAGACTTTATCGAGGATATCAAGGTTCGGAATATACTGACGTCGGGACAAATTAACAAACAAAATTTGATTCCGAAGTCGAGCGAATGGGTGGACAGAAAAGATAGGACGAAGCCAAGAAAGATGATGGACACTATTAAGACTGAAGTAGGGCTACTTCGGGTATGCGCGACCGGATAATGATGAAGAAACAACAGAAGAAGAGGCAACTGGCGGCGAGCGACATAACCCTAGGTGGTACTGTAAAGACATTGGATGCTGGATATGAAGCGAGGTCAGTGAGGAGTGAAGATCCAATCCGAGGGCTAGAAGTGGTGAACTTGCATGAGTGGCCTTGAGTGCATTGAGTTCACTAGCAAAACGGGACTCTGTCCAGTGTTTGATGTTAAGATTCCCCACACTCTTTACTCTTGTTATACACTTGATCCATGCTGACTGGGTAGTTAGCTAAACTGGGTCCCATCTTCGGAGCCTTGTCGATAGTAGTCCAGGGGTCCTTTGGTCGAGTTTTTGGGTGAACCCATAGAAATCTTGGCCCTTGTGCTCGGTAGGGAAATTTTAGATCCATGCATAGCGGCCGTGTGGCAGTGTGGTCCGCCATGTTTCGAGATTTCCTTTAGATGGGGATCATCATCTGAACACTTGGATCTTCTTCACCCGGGTTATGGTGAATCACAATTGACACAACACACGATTGACCCCAATTCTCCACACAAGCTACTTTGAGAAGCTGATGCGAGAAATCAAAGTGTGGAACATATGGAGTAGAAGCAATAACGGAGTTGACTTGGCCAATGTTTCCATAAATCAGTCAAAAGATACATTTGTTGAATTTGCATGATTCAAGATTGATGAACCACCAAACAACCTTCGCTCACTTCTAGAATGACATGTTTGATATGAAGTCTAGTGGTCGATTTCGGAAATTCGTTTAATCGTTTCAATTGACTGGGTGTCTGACCTGTGAGCTCACGGACAGATGCAGTTCGGCAGTCCGAGTGCATCGTCTCTTACTACTATAGTTTAATGAAGATAAACAACTAAAGGGTAGTGAGTGATGGCTATGAAGGGCCTCTCAGATTTGGTGCAAGCTTGTGCCGATGAAAAGAATAGGTACTCAAAATAGATGAAATATTTCGATACGGGTTTTTTTGTTGTTGAGGGGGGTAGTTTTCCGTTCAACAAAAGACGAAATTACACCAAATTCGGGTGTGGTTTGTGCGGGTGTTTTAGCAAGTCGTTTCCAAACTATGCTAATGTGCTGATAGGCTAGATGATAGTGGGCTGGATAGATGATGGAGTTTTGGTTCGATGCCTGCAGCCACGCGGAAGCAAAAATTTACCTTCGTATAAAGAGCTGTAAGGGGAGAATGCACATGAGGCTGACCTATGAATAAGTTGTCTTGCCATCGTGACTATGCTGTGCAACGACAGATGACAGCTGCAGAAGGGTTATTTGCATGGCAAAAAAGTACTTACGGGAAGTAGGTATGCTTTTCTACCTTATGTTCATAAGACGTGTGTATATCCAATCCTATCTCAAATCAGATGGAGATTTTATTCTCGCCGTGTTCAGCTCGTGCTTCTGCCAGGTTATGGTTTGTGTTGTTGCTTGCCAACACATCCATCCATCGTCAACACAAATGAGTACGGAGAAAAGCATTTGTTCTGTATACAGTACAATACAGTGAGTAGAATACAATATAGTACATTACATACATACAAACACATACACACACACACACACACACATACATACATACGTATCGGAGGTGGCTGGGGTCCATGGCAATTCTCTTTATTGATCTTTTTATTTGGTACACTACATGGTACATGTTCGTAATTGCCATTGAGGTCCAAAAGAATATGCGTCGTCACATAGTGGTACCATGTCGTCACCAAATCCTGAAGTCTGAATGGAATCGCTTACGGAGAGTATATGCATTCATGGGTTAAGTGGGAGTGGCTAGATTGAGGTATGAGATAAGTGAAGTGAACATTGAGGAGAGAAGGAAAAAAAGAAAAAAGGAAGAAAAATGTATCTTACCATTAATTTAATTTTAATTGGTCAAAACTCATAATTAGTGGCCGAGCTTTCGTTTCATGTTTTGCTGGGATTACCTACACAAGGTTCGTAGGTATTTTAATGATTGCTGCGTGCTGTGTGCGTGCATCATCAAAATCGCCCAAATTTAAATTTAGTACAGACGCCTGCTTTTTATTTATAGTAAAGGCTAAACTGGAATGGGAAATTAATCTTCATTATACTTCTCTACTCCGTTCACACCAAGGTAATTCTCCGAGCACGTTGACCTTATATGTACTGCGTATAGCAAATTAATCTCAATATCTTTCCCAATATGGCAATAGATGCCCGCTACTTATGACTGTCATATGTGGAAGTCTCGAATCTTTTTCATTCAGACAGTACCTAGTGCCCGGTTAGGTATTTAGATGGATGTCAAGTCAATGCTTAGTGTTGAGAGGTATTTCAAGGTCTTCTTCCTTTCACGGACAATCTAGCCAACAGACCTCTCTCCCGTCTGCGGCATTATTAAAATAGATGCTTGGAGGAGATCAGGGATTTATTTGTTCACAGTTGGAAGGGGTCGGAGAGAAGAAGAAGGAGAAGAAGGAAGAAGGAAGGAAGGAAAAACAAGGACGAGAATTTCTCATACCTCTCCTCGTTAGGATATACATCACACCACACCACACCTCATCGCAGCACACCACAGCACAGCACAGCACAACACAGCACAGACACGAGCGCTGGGTCCAGAATGTGCCATCCGACAAAATAAACATCATCTAACCACCGTACACTACGCCGTGTACACCGTACGGATAGTCCCTAGGTGCTTCGGTTCATGCAACGCAGTTTCTGTATTGTATCCGAACAATATTACTACTGAAGCTGACACAGTATCTAGAAGCTATCTAGCTACGGAATTGGTTAGCCAAGTGGCTGTGTATATCCTAAGCTTAAAACTTCAGATTCATTGTACGTCTATCCTCATCTAATTCGTGGTCATAGTATATTCTCTGACGCTAGATGGAACAAATGAGAAGATCAAACAGATTTTAATGCCCGTGCTTCTACATTGGGCGTTGAGATCCAATTCGGATTCCACCTTTTTCCAACAGACCCTGAAGCAGATCGGTTCATTCTTTCTTCAAAATTTCATCCGATGTATTCTTCACATATTTACCTAACTACATATTATCTACACCTTTGCGTGGGCCTCCGGGGCTTGCTGTCAGCACAGTAATGCAACCACTCCTCAGGTATATCTGCATGTGAACTTTGAAACCATTGGTTGAATCTCTTCGGACTGTGTCCTACCCTGGTCGCCCGGTAAGAATCTTTTTCATGCGATACAAGGAGGGGAAACTTAAGGTGTCAGGAAGGTTACACCATTCGATACCATGTATCGTGTACTTTTCCCTTCTGTGCACATCTAATACTTCAACGGTATCAATCGAAAATCATTTGGAATATCTCACAACATCTACATGAACATCACGATTATGTGTGAAGCTATTTTAAGTCCATGGTAGATAATACCTAGGCATTTTTTACTGTATGTCTCAAAGTTCTATGCTCCGAATACCGGCATAAGTAGCTTTAGAGTGCGGTTGAAAATCGAAATCATGCCGTCAAGTGTTGTGTCATGTCATCTCAAGGTTATTTACAGTAGCACGGTACAATGTAATAACCGGAACTGGAGATAAACAATTTATAATGTCGAGAAAAGCACGTACTCCTTGTCAAATTATATCATTTTCAGACAAGGTCTTCGATACATTTGCTAAATGCATACATACTGTCACTTCAGATATAGTACTTATACAATACTTGGGTCCGGACTAAAAAGTCGGAGTATTTCATTGGTCGGGTGGGAAGTTTTACTGCCTGATCATTATCTATTTCCATACCATTTTCAAAACTACTACGTTTATCTCAAGAAGCTTCGGATAGTCAGGATATTCAGCCAATCGTATTGATGTCATAATCAATGCCGTTGTTAGATCTACAGTGTGATCGGTAAGATGTGGCGATTCATCTCAAGTCTTTTTCTACCCTTGGGATGAGATGGAGTCCCATCTAAAGATCAAGTGGACAGTTCTCACTATTTCACTCTAACCACAAGTCCTTGTTGTTTACTCCTTGTAAAGCTCAAAATGGGGTATCGTGCCCAATTATCAATATACGATCATTAAGTCTCACCTAAGCGGAATGATCTACCTGCTACTTCTGATAGTTTGCGATCTTCAGGGCAGAAAAGTGCGGATGACATGGATTATGACTTCAAGTTACTAAAGAGGTGTTCTTGAAAAATGCAACGCTTTAATGCCGAGGACTCAGCTGTCAAACCTTTCCTATGTTGCTTCACGAATATATCTTCGCCACAGAACAGTAGTGTAAAGAACTAGAGAATAGACCTGAAAGGCTTTCTCCGCTCCTATACAATCACTGCATGAAATCCTCAGAGAATAGGCAAAATCCTAGGAAGCGACCTTATGACCCATTCTTGATTTAGGGTATCCTCAATAAAGGAAAACTAACCTCCCCTCTATTCGTCTCAACGGTGCTGATAATGCCCAATGACCAACTATGATGCAATACTGATCGTTTTGGGAAGTTTTTCTAAATTGCACTACTGACAAGTATATCCGAGGTCGCTATCATCCTTTTCACAACTCAGATCAGCTCCCAGGGAGTACATATCCCAATGAACTCCGCAGATGTATGTCCCATGCCCATGTATTTTGATCATCCCAATTCTACTACATACATGTTACCAAGCATTCTTGACACGAGTATCGGCATTTGATGGTTGGGAAAGGGGTTTGCATGGAAGTCTCACAACCTCGAGTCACTAACTACTCGTTCTCTAGTCATCCAATAGTCAAAAGCTACATAATACTGATTATCTTGAAGAGCAACCCAAGGAACCACATCATTATATCTGTTTATCGCCCCCAATTGACACATGTTCAGTCTCGCAAGGTGTTCTTTACCATTCAATTTTACTTTCGGAAAATGCTTCAGTGAATACCAATATGATAGGAATAGTAGTACATGAATACCACTGTAACCCTCCAAAGTCTCATTCTCAATCAGCTTCTTCACCGCTTGTAGTGATTGCGTACATCCTCAAACTCACAATAGCTTGCAAATTACACGTGCATACAGCCTTATAATCCAACTTTCTTTACAGCTCTTTTTCTATGGTTCCACGAGTCCCAGGCCGCATTTCATGTTTTGCCTTTGTTTGCCTTATTAAGCAAATCTTTCCGGACATCCATAAATAGCATTTCACTCGCTCAGTTCATCGCAGACCGTCTCGGGATCGCGACAGATTGATCTCAAACACCAGGATTTTTGGAATCTATCTATGTCCAAATTTACAAACGGTCGACGCTTACTGGAATTACCTTTTCCAGAAATCTTATGGGAAGGGTTAGAACCTAAAGCTTATGAGTATGCATATACTGCATAAGCTTTGAAATCCTTCCTTTATTGAGTCAAGCCTATCTTTTCTAATTTTAAGCTGTGTAAGAGAGGTAAGCCATTCTACTAATTGATCATCATCTTGGGGGTCGACGTTGCTTTTTGAGATCTATTGTTAAGCTTGAATGGAACATGCGCCCAGTTCATGTAACATAAGCCAACGGCATGATGATACACGCACATATACGCGCACACGCATACGCACACCTCATCGTCGTATTTCTCGTTATTGGGTAATTCTCACAATTTTTATATTCATCGAGACCGGACTCGGAATCTTGCGAAGGTGATGCTGCTGGATGTCCGAAGATGTCTCACTTGCTTAATGCCTATCTTTCGACGAGTATTTCACTTCAACATCCTACCTCACTACTAATTTTGACGCATCACTAAATCATGAAGAAAAATTGCATTATCAGACTCGAATTCGTGAGATCCCCAAACTTTTAATAGATTTTGTTCGTATGTGCTCCAAACCGGCTACTACCCATTCTCTTCCTACTCGTTCGCACATCAACATATAATCACACAGCGCAGCCAAGCCAATCACGTCAACAACATCAAACTTCATCACAAGAACGATTGTTAGATACTATTACATATTTCTCCAATTCCAACCCCAATCGGTCATCTATCTTGTCAATCTTCACCTGTGCAATCAAAACTCATCTCATCGCATCTCACTCGAACCTTAACCCTCACTTCTCACCCCTCGTTTATCAATCTGATCCCTTCCTTCAGCCGTTCTTTTAGACTTTTACTATCCCTCTTATCTACCCTCTCATTACTATCTTGGAAGTATCACACTACCCCTCTTCTCCAAATTTTTGCTCAACCCAACCGTAACAGCGCACTCTCTCCCACTTCATCTCCCCTCCATCTCATTCCCTCACATCAAAGCGCCACCTCATCCTCCTCCTCACCTACCCGTCATTCCATCATCCCACCATCCCAAGCCCACACCCCAAACTCCAAACCCCCTCACTACCCTGCTTATGCTTACGATCACAATACCCTGATCCATCACATTTATGTTTCAGCTCCAGCCACCAGCCATCATCCTAGTCACATCCATCTTCTTCCCCGCCCAATCCAATCCAATGATGCAATCCATAACACAAAATAACACAACCACTTAATCGGGACCAATCACATATACTTTCCTGGTTGTGAGAATAGAGATTTACGTTTCGGAATTGGTAAATGAATGGGATGGGATGGGAATGAGAATTCAATTTCTAGCTTCAAGTGATGGAATGGAAAGTAGAGATAGAAAATCAAGCTGGCGTTATGTTGTTGAGGTTTGGATTTGTGTATGTATATATGTAGGTATATAACTGGGTAGTCTGTCGAATCATAAATTTTCTTGACTGTGTCTTGATACTGCGGTTCTTTTTACTAATGTGTATTGTGTATGTGTGTGTGAGAGACATATCTTCTTATATTATAGATAGATATATTCTCATTCCATGTTTAAAATACATACATACATATGTACATGCACATCTATATAGTATTCATTCAATCACATTCACAATCATAATCAATCTAAATCTACCCACCCAGCTCGACCAAGCCAAATCTAATCCACCGTCGAACCAAGTCAAGTAAAGTCAAGTCAAACATACACCCTCCTCAACCACATCTCCATCTCCCATCCCTATCATCCATCCTCCCACAACCGAAACTCAAACCCATCATCAATACCGTGACTCGCTCATGGGAAAGGAACAGAATAAAACAACCCAAGGAATAAGAAATAGGAAACGAAGAAATAACAGAATCCTCCAGCCCCATCCAGGTAGGTATTCAGCCCAACTCCAAATATCCCAGTCTAGTCTAGCTCATTTTACCGAGACCGAGCTTAAATCCAATCCTTCAACACCATTACTCATCTACCTAGGTACCTACCTACCTAGTAAATAATAAGGATTTCGGTTTATGATTTATAATTACCCCTCCTTCCTTTTTCGGCTTGAGAGTGGTGCGAATGCGAATGCGAATGGGAATGAGAATGAGAATGCGAGGGAGGAATTGTAGGGATGGTGAGGTATGATGAGGGGGGAGAGAAAGGAAATGGGAGGAGGGAGATGGGTATGTGAGTGATATTATTGGGATTGTTCTCAGTAGTGTTTAGGTTTGTATATATAGCGAGGTAGATAGATAGGTAGATAGGTATGTATTTACCTATGAGAAAATTAGAGCTATATAATCTTGTATACTATTTCCATGTTTTTCTTTGTGCTTTTTAGATGTGTGGTCTTTGATTATTTGGAATTGGGTATATCTTCGTGGTAGATTAGTGAATGTTGAGTGATTTGGATTTAGTAGTTATTTCACTTCTCATCATTTTCATTCTATAGATAGGTACCTCACCTCGACATCTACTATGTTCTCTCTGAGAAATACAAAATGCTAGTTCAATTTAGAAAAAGATAGCTGATGTATTCATATTGATATCAAATCCTAATTAGCTCTAAACACTTGAAGCCTAGCCTTACAGCCCAGAGCCCTACCCAAACCTCCTTAATCCAAATCAGACGAAGATTCCTCTCAAGTGCAAGAGTTAAAGTATGATAAAGGGAAGTTCAATCCATATATCCATCTTATCTTTACATTCCCCTCCTTTTGACGAATTTCCTTCCCTGGACGAATAGATTCCTCTTTTTGATACCTATGGAAATATTCTTTCCTTAAGAGTAAAGTAATGACTTTCCTGTGAACCTCACTCACTTCATCTCGTCTTATTCATTTCAGTAGCGTGGAGAATGAATGTCTGGGTATCATGTCCTGAATCTCAAAACTCGCATATCAAGCATTACATACCTGGCAGACAGCAGTTCATAATCTAGGTATCTAGACAGTAGATACTAGATAGATAGATCTCAAACATCAAATATCAAACATCAAATGCTCAATACCAGCCCCAAATCAACTGCCCTGCCCTCTTCTCCTCACCTTCAAACAAAATCCCAATACACGAAAAACCTACCAAAGATCACTTCATGATCCCTGAAAGGGAAAAGGAAAATACTACACGAGAAATTCTGAAGCAATATTCTTCTTGATCTTATCCTTAGTCCTCTACTCCTATCTCTATCTCGGTGTAATTACATCCATTCGTCTCATCTCAACTCATCTCAAACTCCAGTCCTCCAGTCTCCAGTCTCCAGTCTCCAGTCTCCAGTCTCCAGTCTCCAAAGCAAAAGGATTCTAGTCTCTAGTCCTACAGTCTTCTACTTTTCTAACCTACTAGGAATCCTCATTCTTCTCACACTTTCACTTTCACTCCTACTCCTCCATCCTACTCACTCGCTTACACACATCCATACACCCACTCACCCATCCATCCCAACTAAATCCCCATTTCTGCGTTTCAATTTTCAATTTTCAGGTTCGGGTCCGCTCTCGATTTTGGGTTTAAGTTTGGATTTGGATATGAGTATGTGCTTACTTTGACAAGGATTCGGGTGCTCTTCTCTTATTCTCCCCCCTTCTCTCTTCTCTTCCCTTCACCCTCCCCCCCTCTCCGCCCTCATTCCCTCGAACCACTTCTCAACTTCTTCTCCCCCCTTTTACTATACCCCTTTCTCCTCTTGGCTCCATCTAACCTTGACTCCTTTTCAGCCAAGCATTTCCATTTTCATCTCCACCAAAGCCAAACGCAGAAAACCCATAAACCCATCCCATCACATCCTTACCCAAAATCCAGCACATCCATACACTCTTCCACAATACGAAATACCACACCAAGCAAGAGTGAAAGTTCTATACATAACACTTACATAGGTAAAATATTCAATCACATATAGAATATCATATTATATTAATATATATAATCATCTCATCTCATATCTATTTTCTTTCTTCTACATCTATGTGTTTTCTTTTACACACTTTCTACTTTCTACTTTCTACCTTCTTACCTTCTACCTCTACCTCCTCACCTACTTCTAATTCTACCTCCCCACCTACTTCTACCTTCTACCTCCGCACCTACTCCTCCTTTTCCCTCTCCTCCCCTCCCTTCCCATTCCCATTCCCATTCCCCTCCCTTCCCATTCCCATTCCCATTCCCATTCCCATTCCCATTCCCATTCCCATTCCCATTCCCATTCCCATTCCCATTCCATTCCCATTCCATCCCATCCCATCTCCATCTTCACAGCTATATCCCCGCTTCTCTATCCCTCACCCCAACAACTATTCTCCCCATTCTCCCATTCCTCCTTCCTCCTTCTCCCCTCTACTCTCTTCCCTCCCCTCGAAAGAAGAAGAATATTATTCAAAAATATCACCTCATCACCTCATTACTCCACTTCACTCCACCTTATCAATGTGAACTCTATTTTCATTTTCAACCTCAATTTCAATCACCACATCATAGACATACATAAACATAAAATAAACACTTAAAGTTCATCATGAATGTAATATTTTAATTCGATTTTGGATTTATCCTCATTTCTATTCCCATTTTCATCATTCACCCCCTTCCCGCTCCCTCCCTCTCCTCAACTCCCCTAAAATTACAGAACAATTCTCCTCATACAAATCCGCCCATTTCATCCCAACACTACCACTTCCCCTATACATGAATAACCCCCAACCCAAGAAATATACATATTTCCCTTCTCATTCTCATTCTCATCCCATAACACCACCCACCCACTCATCCATCCATTCAACCCCCTAAACCATGCAAGTTGACAACTATAATAATTCTCCACATCTCGCATTACAAAAGAAAAAAAGAAATCAAGAGAAAAAGAACGAAAGAATCCACGCTCATACACAAATACACGCAAATGCAAATGCCCTCCCAATCCCAATCCCAATATCACTCGCACTCACACCCCACTTCTCATAAAATCTCAATAACGATCTCTCCCCTGATCCTCCGGTTCATGACTATAAGTACACGCCGCGCCCTTTGCACACTTTCCCTCTCCCCAAAATTTACACGGTTGTTTCTTTCCCTTATACTGTCCGTTCTCATCCAGCGGTTCCCATTTTGTATCTTTCTTCCACTCGTTTCCTGGTTTACGCCATTTATCATTATTGTAATTATTTTTACCTCCTCTCGAATCTCGATTCTCATCACTTTGGTGACCGGGCCATCTTGACGAGGAATCGGTAGGAAGAGAAGGTGCATAGCCTTGAAGAGCGGGATTATTGGACCATGCGCTGAAATCGAATTGTTGGGGTGTTGATGATGATGTTGGAATATCGGTATTTGTGTTGTTATTTCCAGTTAAACTCGCTAGGTATTGTTGGACTTGTTGATTGACGTCTGGGACTGCGACTTGATAATTCATAACCGGCTGAGTCATCTGTGGTTGATAACCCTGCATTTGAGAAACTGGCATTGGAGGTAACATTGAAGGAGCTTGGGGAGCTTGCATTTGAGCAAGAAGTCTCTCTTCTGCAGCATTAGGATGATCCTTGTTATAACCATCCCACCAATCCTTCTTTTGTGCTTCGTTCATCCACTCAGGTGGTTCAATAGCTGGATATGGTTTGCCCTTCAAAGTTGCAACAACACGTTGAAGATTCTCCCATGCTACCTCCATTATGGGGTTGAATTTTGGTGCTCCAGAAAGTTGTTGTAATGCAGGCATACCATTACTGGAAGATGAAGCATTTTGTGTGAAACCGCGAGCTTGGTTATCTAACATTTCTTTGTACTTTCTTTCTTCCAAACGACTGATCGCAAGGGTTCGTGCATATTCTGGACCATACTGATGAATATCTTGAAGCCTTTGAATCAACCAAGGAGCACTTGGATACTTTAGTTGTTTTACCATACCAGTAGCGGCATCATTTGCAGAAGATGGTTCTTTTGCAGATGGTGGAATTTCTGAAGGATCATTATAGATTACAAGTAACTCATTGGCCTCTCGTCGCTTTTGTTCTTGCTGTTCCGGAGTAACAAACTTAACATTTCCACCTCTGGTAATATAACTTGGACCATATGTAGTATGCTTATCCAGATTGGAAAGATCGACTTCAACCAAAGTAGGATAAGGTCGATCCTCAATCATACCAGACATGACTTCATCATCGTCCTCATCTGTAGCCTGAACACGTTGCTTATGCATCATACCCTCAGAGTGATTATTACGTGCATCTCTCAACATACCATCTTGACGTCCCTCATCTTCTGCAACCTCATGTTTGAATAAACGAATTTGCTCAAGTTCATCGTCTGGCTTGAATTTGACTCTGAGATGTCGTCTGCTTTCTTTTCGCTCACGGCGCTTCTTTTCTTCGGGAGTTTCTGGAGGTCCAGCTGCTGGTGAAGCCTTCTTTGGTGCCTCAGGTGGTTTCTCGATACTGGCCAAGATATCACCTAATCTGGATGACATTGGTGGTGGTGGAGGTGGTGATGGTTCTTTCTTCTTGGTTGGCGCAACCTTTGGAGCAGGCTTAGGAGTTGGCTTGGAGGAAGAAATACCAAGAAGGTTGACATTGGATCTCTTAGGTATTGGAGGCAACTTGGTTGTCGAGGTAGGAGTACCAGAAACATCAGTAGCAAACTTCTTATTTGGTTTTCCGTTATTGCCATCCCCTTCATGAGGTCTTTTTGATGGATTTAGATTAGTTGCCGTGGGCTTCAAGGATTCTGTAGCTCGAGATTTAATTTGTTCTATCTTTTCCAGCTTCTTCTTGGTATCTTCAGCGCTAGGCAATGTCTGATCTATCTTAGAAGCTCTTCGCTTTGCATCAACTGTGTTATCCATTATAACTTTGATGTAGCTTTTAATTTCTTGATCTCCTTTCTTATTCCAACGCTTTGCGAGAGCATCAAATTTACTCTTCGTAAGCAAATCTTCTGTGAGTGTTTGAAATCTGGCGAGCAAAGCAAAAACAGCTCGTGGAAGTTTTCCAACGTAATCTTCAGTTTTTGTACATTCGATGAGTGTGGCTGTCAAACCGCTAACTAACTTCTGGTGGCCACCAAGATTTTCGACAATTGGAGCATAGCCGAGTTTATTCGCTGCCTCAATTGTTTGATACAGAGCTTCTGAAAGTTCGGAACGGAGCGACTTGAGTTTCTGTAATTGTACCTCAGGAGCTTTAGATGTTGTTGCTTCTTGTAATTTCGCCGTGGCATCCTTGATTTGAGTTCGAAGAGCGATGAAAGTATTGGCATAATCGTTCATAGCACTTGTAATAGCAGCGGCACTTGGACTAGAATTGGGATCTTTCCAGACAATTCCTATGGCATCCCATCGGGCAGCACTAGGGATATCACTGGGACGCGTGAGCCCACGTACCTGTATTGATCAATCATTAGTATTCATTTTTAGTAATCATTGGGCTATCAGCCAGGGGTTGGCATATCAATGAGGTCAAACATATATGCGAGCAGGCTAATATGATTGTCCACTCATGTATTGAAATAATTCACACAGAACAGGTCAAATATCTTATTATGGAATAGTAACAGCAGATGCATGTCATACACATGATAGAGATCGATCACGTTCAGGAATTATTGGGGAAGGGGAGTTTGTACTTACAGTACTAATATCTATTGGAGGAGGCATATCATCTTCATCCTCATCTTCATAATCAGACTCTTCTTCCGAACTTGTTTCTTCCTCTGAAGTGCTTGATTCCGTGGGTGTTGAAGACTTAGTTGGCGTATTTGTACCATCAGAACGTACGATGGAATCTTTATCAAAAGCAGATCTACTAGTGCCTTTATAAGTGCTAACGTGCGTTTTCTTCTGTTTTGGCGCCCGAATTTTCTGTGAAATTTTTGCTGGCGTGGTTGAAATTTCTAACCGAGATATTAATATTGAGGTAAACAAAGAGATCCAATGATACTTACTTGATTTATTCAGTCCCGGTACTAGTTCTTTTCCACTTCTGGATTTTCTTGGATGATACTTTGGAATGGTATCTACCCAAAAGATGTTAGCAATTTTGATGTCTCGGGAAAAAAAAGAAGCGTTTAAATATACTGACTCTTTAGTGCAGGAGGAACCTGTATCGGCGTATCTTCCCATGCGAGAAATGGAGCATATGAAAATCTAGGTCTTGAAGAGGGGTTGTTCGCAACAAGATCTGGATGAGTGACTCGGAGTGGGTTTGGAGCCGGAGCAATGGGTTGAGGCTCGGGAATCTCTCGTTGGCGAGGCACAGCAACAGTAGGTGCCGCGACGGGATATTGCTCTGTAATCGGAACATGTTGCTTCACCTCCTCCTTTGGAACAAGATCTGAAGGAATCGAAGGATACCGCACGGTATTGTTGGATGAATTCTGGTCCATCTTTTGTGGTACAATACTATTCTGAGCTTGGTTAAAGAAATGATTATCATTACTTTGTGTCCTTTGGCCATAGTTATAATTAGGTTTACTACCAATTCCGCTATTTGATCGTTGAAAAGCGGTCGATGGAATCCCACTGTTCATTTGCTGTTGAGCCAACAAATTGTATTGAAGTGTTTGGGGAGAAATTGTGGTATGTTGAGTGGTATTTTGCTGATACGGGAAAGGACTTTGAGCTCCATGGTAGGAATTCGACTCTTGCATTGAAGGATCGAGACTGTAAGAGGTAGGAGTGAACATGTCTGATGGTCTAGCATGTTGATACTGCGCAGCAGCATATGCAGGACTATTCGTATATGATAGAGCATTATACGTGGGTTGCTGATGAGATTGATGAGAAAGATCATACTGTCCATAAGAAGGTTGAATATTCGAATATCTTCCATATGGATCTGATTGTACATGTTGCTGTTGAGGCTGTTGTTGGGGTTGCTGCTGGGGTTGAGATTGTTGTTGTGGGTATGCATATCGGTCTGCACTTGGCCAAACTGAACCACTACTCAATAATCCATCGAAATCAACATCATCTGGTATGTAACCATGATTATCACCGTCCATCTTGAATTGTGAGAGTGAGATATAGTCACGTGAATGACTAAAGAGCACCCAGGGAAAACTAGAGGAGTTGGCTCGGTAAGAAACGCTTAAATGCGGGTAACTAGTTTTTCGGACTAGGCTCGGGGCGTGGCTAGAAGAATAGCGTGGTGTGTCCCGAAAGGTTAAAGACGGGGGAGTTAAATGATTCGTCTATTCGGTTTTATGGTAAAGTGGATGAATTGGTTTGGTTTGATTGGGTAAGCTAAACAACAAAGAACATGAATTAGCTGACAAGTAAATATTTGATTAAGCAACCCCCCTCCCCCCATGAAAGAATGAAATCCCATCTTGATGGCTGGGCGGAAAGTAAAGTGTGTGTGTGTGTGGTGTAAAGAGGAAAATGTGAGCCAAAAGAAAAGGAAACAAAAAGATAGGTTTTTGGTGGGCAAGGAAAATTGGTATGTGTGTAGATTGTATGCAAAAGCCACTGATGACGATGCTTGCAACTCTCTGATCATAGGTATGCGGTGCAATAATCCATCCGTTGAAGAGATTCTCTGGAAAGATAATAGTAATTGAAGATATTGATGGATGGATGGATGGATGAATCAATGAATGAATGAATGAATGCTTTCCAAAACACACCCTCACTCACTCCATCATCATCATCATCATCATCATTATCACAGTTTTTACTGTAAATGAAGAGCGATAGATGAAGTATGGATTGCCCATGACCACACCTCACTTCTGGGTTGTTATCCAAATGTGTGATGTTCCATGAATGTACCTTTTTTATCAAGTACATTCAGCAGTACAATCACACCCCCTTTTTTTTGTTCTAAACACCAGAAGCCCGATGGCCAAGAAACACTATCGGTAAGAAGAAGTACAACCACAACCGCAGCCTGCACAGTACAATATAGTCCAGTGAAGCCAGGCTCGAGACATCATCAGTATACCCTCTCTGCAACAATGGTATAGATGAAGATCTTCCTCTTGAACGGATCTTTTCTCTTTTCACTGTGCTATACGATATGGGCAACTTATGATATCTCAACCTTGCACGTTGATATGCGGTCCCTTTCCGACCTCTCTATGCGAAAGCAAAAGCATGAAAGCCTTGTGTCTATGCAGATTGAGGATTCTTGGGGGGGGGGGGGGTGGCAATACAATATTCTGGGTAGGGGGAGGGGGGTAAAAGTGTAGTTGTAGATAATTTGGCCAGCGTCAATTGCATGGCGTATCAAGATTTGGTGGTGTTGTGTGTATTCAAAGTGTTACCATACCCTTTTGTTTTTGCTTTGGAGGACTTTGTCTTCTTTGCGCACTTAGATCTGCCCGTCTGAATTTCTTCTCTAAAGTTATACACTCTTATGAGTGACCCAGCAGCCTTTTTCTTTTTGCAAATCCGGTCACTTTTTTGGTTCAATAATTAATTTGTACGATCATGAATTCTGATTAGAAGTAAAGTTGGCGCGTCCATGTAATAACCATCAAAGAGAAAATGTCATGGGACCGTTGATGAAGATGGGGGGGAGAGGTGAAGAGGTGAAGAGGTGAAGAGGTGAAGAGTTGAAGAGTTGAAGTAATGTGTTGATGAAGAATTGGGTAGAGGTGATGAATGGTGTTGTGTTGTGTTGTGTTGTTGATAAAGGTCGAGAAAGTACGAAAGAAAAAGCAAATGGTGATGGTGATGGTGTGTGTTTTGGTTGTGGGTTTGGATTGTATTAAAAGAAAGGAACAAGAGAGAGATTGAAGGAACGAACGATTCAAATTGAGGGAAAGCGTGGGAAAGTCCATTTTTCGGTTTTTTAGTTTCGCCTGCAGAACGTTTCGTTTCGCCGTACAAAAGAGAGACCCCCTTGTTGTACCTGATGTGATTTGATATTTGATAACGCTAATAAAACATTCTACTAATAATTATTGGATAGATGGTTGATACCCGTGGGACCTAGCAGAATAGTACAATTCACCATGAAGCCATTCACTAGGGAAACTTATTACTTACTCACTTAGATACTTACCTACCTACCTACCTACCTACCTACCTACCCACTCACCTACTCACCTATTCTTGTTCGATAAGCTATCGCAATATTCGCAGATGTGTCCTTGAGTAAAGGCAAATAAATCATTCCATACATACTCACACCTTTCTGGAATTTCATCTACCCCTCAATACCTTGATTCTTGCGCATCTCAATACTGGTATTACATGATATATTCTAGCCAATTTGGCTGAATCACAGCCTTGGAAATCAATAACAAACATGGCAACTTCACATAACTCTCTCCGGGATCGTCAGATCAGTATGTAAATTATTTCCCCTATTTTCTACCTCTTCTGCATACTGAGATACTAATCCATCTCTCGATAGGATCGATTGAGCGCATGCTCAATTTGAATCATGATTCCCCCGAATCTGCGAATGCTCACGATCAAACATCACTCACTGGAATTGCGGTGCCATCAGTGCCTATTCTCAACGAAGATGGAGAACCAATTTGGAAGGTCTTGGTCTTTGATGATTTAGGACGAGATGTTATCAGTAGTGTACTACGAGTTAGCGACTTGAGAGCTTGGGGAGTTACAATGCATATGTATGTTGATGTGCGGGGAAGCAAGAGCTTCCATGTTACTTGAAAAGTACTGATGAAGTTAGGCATATTTCAGCAAATCGACACCCTATCCCCGATGTTCCAGTATTATATTTGGTTGAACCTACGGAAGCCAACCTAAAGGGCATTACCAGTGATCTCACGAAAGGTCTCTATTCTCCTGCCTACATCAACTTTCTCTCCTCGATACCTCGCGCATTATTAGAAGATTTCGCAAAGCAAACGGTGGAAGCTGGGACGTCAGAAAATATTGCACAATTCTTTGATCAATACCTGAATTTTATTGTGGGAGAACCGGACCTCTTTAGTCTTGGGATGAGAAAACAGAATACATATTGGGCATTGAACAGCGCAAAGACAAAGGATGAGGAATTGGACAATGTGGTTGATAGGATCGTCAGCGGACTTTTCAGTGTTATGGTCACAATGGGTAAGATATTGGATGGGATTGTGTTGGCGCCCAACTAACAATTTACAGGCGTTATGCCAATAATCAGATGTCCTCCAGGTGCAGCAGCAGAAATGATCTCTGCTAAGCTCGATCGAAAATTGAGAGACCATGTTCTAAACTCAAAAGACAATTTGTTCTCCGGCCCCGCCAATCGTCAATCTACTATTGCGCCCTCTGCTCGACCAGTTCTTATTATACTCGATCGAAATGTTGATCTAATTCCTATGCTATCGCATTCCTGGACATATCAGTCACTCGTACATGATGTTCTCAAAATGAAGTTAAATCGAATCACCGTCGAGACACCAATAGATGAGGAGAATCCTGCAAAGGGTACAACTAAAAAGGCTTACGATTTGAATGCGAATGATTTTTTCTGGGCAAAGAATTCCGCTGTGCCGTTTCCACAAGTAGCGGAGGACATTGATGCAGAATTAATGCGATACAAGGCCGATGCAACTGATATAACGAAGAAGACAGGTGCTTCTTCCATAGAAGATCTTCAAAATGATACGAGTGCTTCGGCACAACATCTGAAGGCTGCCATTACCTTACTTCCCGAATTGAGAGAACGAAAAGCTGTTCTAGATATGCACATGAATATATTAGCTGGACTTTTGACTGGCATAAAGGATCGACAATTGGATAACTTTTACCAAATGGAAGAAAATATCATGAAGCAAACAAAAGCGCAAATGCTTGAGGTTGTAAATGATGCAGACAAAGGCAAAGAACCAACAGATAAATTGAGATTATTTATCATCTGGTACTTGAGTACCGAACAAGAAATCACGAGGGCTGAGATGGACAAATTTGAAGAGGCATTGAAGACTGCAGGTGCTGACACTACATCTTTAGCATATGTCAAACAGTAAGTCATTTATTCATTTTTCTCATCTAGTTGATGCGACTAACAAACAATTCAGAGTTCGCACCACAACCCGAATGACAATGCTCACTACAGCTCCTACCCCTGCTTCTCAACCACCAAGTACATCCGGCGATCTTTTCCGTGGTCTCTCTTCCATTTCTTCTCGCCTCACCACATCCCTTAAAGAAACTGGTATTACCACCAATTTCGATAATTTAATATCCGGAGTAAAGAATTTCCTTCCCGCAAATCGTGATCTTACTGTCACAAAAATTACAGAATCAATTATGGATCCTCAGTCCGCTTCTAGTTCCGCAATAGCAAAAACAGAAGATTATCTTTACTTTGACCCTAGATCCGCAAATGCAAGAGGTACCGTACCACCAGCAAGCGCGAGTAGAAGAAACGAAATGCCAGGAAGTTTGCAAGGACCTGGTATCACACCGAGTTTTGGTATGCGTAGACAAGGGTTTAGTGAAGCAATTGTTTTTACAGTTGGTGGGGGTAGTATGGATGAATATGGAAATTTACAGGAGTGGACGAGAAGGGTTAATAAGGAAGGTGGGGGAGGAATGGGGAAGAGAAGAGTGGTTTATGGAAGTACGGAGTTGGTTAATGCGGAGGAATTTTTGAGTGGGGAATTGGGAATGTTGGGGGCTGAATGTTCGTAGGTTGAGTGGATGGATTTATAGAATTGATATATCATGGAACGAAGAAAAAACACAGTTTGATGTGTGGAAATGAGGGGGAGAAAGGGTTAGCATAGCTGTATGGCGTGTGAAGCGAAATGTTTAAATGGAATATAATGTGATATGCGTTGTCTCCATCACTGGTGTTTACTTTCTGCCTTGATAATCATGCAGTTAGTAGTCAGTCAGTCCATGTGTTTCCTCTCTCGTATGTGGCTCACTACTTGCTCTCATATCACATGTTCAGATGTTCATATCGATATTCTCGACCATTTATGTTGTGATTAATTCATAATTGGGAATTGATCATTGGTAGGGGAAACGGGAATGGTATGTAGGTAGGTAGGTGGGTGGATGGGTGGGTATACAGAATAAATAAGAAATAAGAAAGAAGAAAGAAATTAAGCGAGGTACTTGTGCCTTGAGGTTGATGGTGATGGTGTGGGATGCACGAGATGAAGTTGATTGTGTATGTGTATGCGTATAGTAAGTGTATTTATGTGTGGATATATCTAGAGAATTTATTTTGATTTTGTTTTCATATTAGTGTTTGATATTGATATTCTTTGCTTTTGGGGGGTTGGGTATAGGTAATGAGGATTGGGGATAAAGAGTCGGGGGCTGGGAGTTGAGATTTGAGGTGTAAAGTGTAAAGTGTAAAGTGTAAAGGGTATGTCTTTGGAGATTTTATTTGGGTTTGAGATTTTGTGGTTGTAGTTGGTATATATATATATTGTTTACTAGGTAGATACTGAGATATTGTATATGGTTTTAGGAAGAAGGAAGAAGGAAATGAGGGGGGGGAGAAGAGGGAAGAGAAGGAGGAGAAGGGATAGTGGAAGTGGAAGTGGAAGTGGAAGTGGAAGTGGAAGTGGAAGTGGAAGTGGAAGTGGAAGTGGAAGTGGAAGTGGAAGTGGAAGTGGAAGTGGATTGAAAAGGGATAGAGGATGAGGATGAGAAGGAGGGGAAGGGATAGAAGAAGAGAAGAGGAAAAGCTAAAGGAGAAGCTAAAGAAGAGAGAAAAAGAAGATGTGAGGGAAGTTAGTTTATTTTCTGAATGAGGTTTGTAATTGAGTTTTGTCTTTTATCTTGTAGTATCATGCATGGTATTGCTAGGTAGCTAGGTTAGTATCTTTTCTATTTTGTATATCAGGATTACTTGGGCCTGGGAATTTGGATTAGTGGTGCTTGTGTTTCTTGAAAGGGGGGTTTCGGTGGAAATTTAGGGGGAAGGGTGGATCAGATACACTTTTTTCGTTTCGAAAAGTAGGTCTGAAAAGTTAAAAACTAAGGTGTGTTGCGCTTCTCAGAGATGATGTGCTGGGGAATCTGGATGATCTCTTGTGAGATGTGTAGTGAAAATCTTTTCTCTTCATCTTCTTTCAATATCCGTCATGTCACTATTCATCGCTTCTATTCTCTTATATTAAACAGATCTATTGAACTTTGTTGTACATCTCAAAAGCATTCGTTCTAAGAATCTAATCGTTCGTTTGTGGAAATGTGTAATAAGCCTTTCTATTCTCTTTTCTTCTTTCCTGTCAAATTCGTATGAAGATCTGTTATACATCTCAAAGATAATATCTCTAAAACCCTGGGTGATCTCTTTTCAAGATATTTGCAGCAATAAACCTTCTTCATCTCGAGTCTCCATTCCCTTCTCATCTAAATACGCACTGCACAATTCTACCCCTTTCTCTCGACAAAGACTCTTAAAGTTTTATTGCATATCTTAGTTCGTCCTGAGAATTCAATAGTTCGTTTTGGAAGATATGCAACAAAACTTCTCTCTCTCCGTCTTCTTTCACATTCGCTAAATGATTATTTCTTCTTACCCCTTTCTCCTTTCTCAGAAGTTTTGTTGCATATTGTAAAGCTCTCTTCCTGAGAATCCGCCAGTTCGTCCTGATAATCTAGCAGTTCGTCTCTGAAGATGTGCAACAAAATCCTATATCTCTTTCTTCCAATTGAGATTTGTTGCATATCTTGGGTTGTTTCGTCATGAGAATCCAACAGTTCTTCCTTTCGAGATATGCAACAAAACTAATTTTCGTCCTTTCCATCTCTTCTATCAAACAGGTCTGTCAAACTTTTGTTGCACCTCGCAAACCCTTCTTCCTGAGACCCCAACAGGTCTTCCTGAGAATCCAACAGTTCACTTTCGAAGACATGCAACAAAACTCCTCTCTATGCCATCTATCCGCAGAGATTTGTCGTGTATCTTAGAGCAATCTCCCTGAAGATCTAACTAACAGTTCTTTTCTTAAGATGTACAACAAAACTCTTCTCTCTATACCATCTCCATTCATTTTCTGAATTTCATTGTATATCTCAAGATAATCACCATGAAAATGCAGACGTTTTTCTTTCGAGATATACAATAAAACTTCATCTCCTCTATCACTATCACTATCTCCATCACCATCCCATCTCACCCTTTCCCACACAAACCAATCTCCACTCCCCATTCCCGAGTCCTAAAACTCTATAGCCCACAGCCCTCAATGCACCTTATATCTTGAGAATCTTCCTTGCCCAATCCCCTTTTCCTCCTCTTCTCCTCTCCTTCTCTCTCGCTTCTCCTCTTTTCCCATCCGCCCTCTTCTTCTTTCCTCTTTCTCACACTCAAACCCAAATCCATACCCAAACCCATCCTCCCCCCCTAATTTCCAAATCCATACCCAAACCCATCCTCCCCCCTAATTTCCAAATCCCCAAACCATCCTTAATTTCTCAATTCAAGTTCAAGCTCAAGCCTCAGCTGTTGTATTTTCAGGAGATAAAATGTTCTGCCCTCACTATATCAAATTCCTCTACTTCAACATTCATAACTCATACCTCACACTTACACTCACACTCCATCCACGTTAAATCTCAATCTCAATCTGGTCGCTCAATTCTCGCTGGTGATTTTATGACTTTGTGCGCTTAACTACCTAAGCAAGTACCATCGGACTCCCCAGCAAAGTAGTTTCATGCTCCACGTATGCACACCAATATCTGATACTAGTTTCAGAATTTTAAATTTATTCAAATTTGTATTATCCTACATACGACCAACAAAGACAATCCCCTAAGACAACCATCCAGATTTCCCATCACTTCCCATAAACCGAGCGAGACAACCCATATTATATTTTCTCTACTCACCCCTCGTCCTAGAAAGACTTAATCCTTTTTATTAACCAACTTCAACAAAGTTGCGAAATCCGGAGTTCCCAATCCAGTCACTGGATCCCATCCCTTTGTCGCATTCCAACTAGCATATGGTACGAATGGGGTTGGTAAGCCGGAGTACATATCGACTCCAGTGCATCCGGTGCTGCCTCCGTGAACAATATCGGTAAGACCTTTCTTACCGATCGAGTAGAGCCAAGGGTTGAGGAAACCGAGGGGTTTACGACCGGCATTTAGACGGGCATTGTTGAGAAGGGAGATGATACCTGCGAAAGCTGGGGAGGATGCACTAGTGAGAAGGGAATTTTAGTTGTGTTTTGGTTGGATTAGGAGATACGAGAAGAGAAAAAGGATTAAGGATAAGATGTTAGATTAAGAGGAAGAGATGGGAAAATAAGTCATACCTAGTTCCAGAAAGTAATTGATCTCGTGCAACTCCGGTGATAGAATCAACGTCCCTGATATAATATTAGCATGAAAACTCATAAGCTACTTCATATGGAAAGAAAATACTAACATAATATGGAATCTAACACCTTGTGCCGCAACATCTGGGAAACCACGGCCCTTAGGATTATAAAGACCCTTCCATCTAGAACCCAGAACCTTCAAGTATCCCTTAACAGCATCATCTTGATACGAAGGACGAGGCCATCTATCACTGAAACCACCTGAAGAGAAAGAAACCGCTGCTTCTGGTTCCACATATCGAGTTCCTCCTACTGAAGTAACATAAGGACAAGCTGCTGGGAAAATGGGCAAGAATCGTGTTGTGTTTTTTCCATCATTAGTTTGGCAAGCTGATCCCACACCGGTATCTCCAGATGAGAAAAGAATAGATACACCTCTCATACCTAATTGACCGAACATCTTACACACGGTTTTAGAATAAGCTTCTGGAACAGATTGTTCATCTTCTCCGTATGAAGTTGTGATTGTTTGTGGTAATTGGTTGTTCGGGAGACTCAACATATAGTTAAGATAGTCCAAATATGGTTCATTTTGATTGCCGTCTAATGATGGTTGATCGAGATCTGGAACGAGAAATCCTAGACCACCAGTACTGTAGTAAGTAATATTGGTATCGAAACCCATGGCAGCAACATATTGAATATCTAAATTCGCTTCTCCGTCATCGTTTGTTGAGTTTTGTGTATCCAAACCTCCATTGATGAGTGCATAGGAGAAATTTTGGCTAACAGCATATGGAGCATATTTCTCCAAGAAAGCTTCTAGACCATCATACTTTGCCCATTGACCAAGGTATCCAGCGACTCCTAGACGTGACTCGGGATTTGCCTTAGCAGTGTAGTTGCCAATATTGTAAAGATCTCGTAGACATTGAGGAGTAATGGTAGCATTGCAGGCAGTAGTATTGAGTGCTGGTAAAGAAAGAGCACCAAAGTCCTCACGGAATACTTGGCTGCGTTGAGTTCTAATTTGACCAAACCTGGTTGTAGGTTGGATCATTGTAATGTGACTTGAAACCTCTCTTGGAATAGAATATCCCAATGTTCGAATCTGCTTGTTGTGTTTCTGATCTTGATGAGCGTAGTAATGGAAAGTGGTATTCAACATATCCTCCGCTTGCTTAATTGAAGTACGAAAGTTGATCCATTCTCCATCATTGTGGATGTTTGACTCGGAGATACCAGATTTTTCCAACCATGATAAAACGGCTTGAGTAGTTTGATCAGCTGGCTTGATGAATCGTTTAAGCTCTTCACGCTCGAGATGTTGACCGTATTCGACATGATCAGGTGATGAGACAGCATAAAGCTTCTGCTCGAAAAGTTCATGATCTGGTTGTTCCAAAGCAATTCGAAGCTTGATTGTTTTGTATGGTCGAGGTTTCTCAAGTTGAGCCCAACCTTGCGGGATTTCGCGAAGCGATTCCAAGAGCTCCATGGAAGACTCGCATGCAGCAAAGCTACATACTGCCAAACCAGAAACCACGCGAGAGAACTTCATCTTGATCTTCAGAGTTGAGGTGTTAGTAATGTTGTATTGCCCTTTTTGGTAATGGTGATCAACTCACGATGTTAAGCCCTAGAAAGGACTACGAAGATGTATCAACAAGAGAACACCAGTAAAATCAGAGGTGTCGAAGTTGGACTTGGAAGGAAAGAAGTGACCAGCGAGATGGGAATTGCCTGCCTTTTGTACTTGATTATATTTTTATTGATCGCCTTCGCCTTTGGCTCCATAGAAGAGGGGAAGATGGTAAAAAGTATTGTTATCTTATTCACGTAATGTAAGCCAAGAAAGATGTGAAGTATATGTTACAAAAGAGGCAGGTGCTATCGGCCGAATCTCTTGGTCTAATGGTGCCATTCGTCGTCCTCAAAGATCCATTTGAGTCTATGATGGTTGGAATTTACTGAATTTCATATCATTGCTCTCTAACAACAAAAGCTGCCCCTTATCAATCTATCGTTGTCGTGGTATCGCTCTCTCGAAAAACATAGGATAAGATTGACACAAGACGCGAACATATCCTTTGGTTCCTGATCTTGCCCATCATGCCATTACTTGATCTCAGCTTACAATTCGGCTTGGTCCACCATACCTGCATGTTCGACACGGCTTGGATACACACTTATGCTCATGTCCTGCATTTCACTCGAAATGTAACCGATATGAAGTTGTACAACTCTATCACCATCCGGATTCGGGTAGTATCCCCGCCTTGTCCCAACACCTGGGCAGTGAACGATGCACGACGCCTTGGTATTTACACACTACTCCTGGAATATATGCAAGTATCCCACCATTGTGATTGGATGGATATTCGATTTACCAGCCTTGGCTGGCATTGTGAGCATAACGAATTGATAAGTACCATTGATTGGTTTCTTTACTTCATTACCGCAGATGCAGGTGCAAGATAAGATATGCGGGGATTGTGTTAAAGGAAACGGATGAATGAATGGGCCAGTTTAACGATTAGGTTAGAGTTGTATTTTTTGATCATCAATTGATAAATGAAAGTTAATGAAAGTTGTGATGTGGTGGAAATTATGTAGAAATGAAGGAGTGATAAGTTAATCGAAATAATAGATAGTTATCGGCATCGGAAAATCCATTTCGGGTCCCAACGGTCGGGTGGCTACAGATTGATCATCAAATCAAATTCTTCTTCGATTCAAGATATTCATTCAAACACTTTCATACCCAACCAAGAGCCCCCCCCCAGATACTCGAGTACATCTAAATCACTCGAATATCTATCAAAATGTCTACAGAACCGATTTCAGTCTTGTTTGTCTGCTTGGGAAACATTTGTCGTTCAACCATGGCGGAGGGAATCTTTAGATCCATGGTCTCCCAGGGTCCTTACGCATCCTTGATATCTAATGTTGATTCATGTGGTACCTTCATTCCGGTTAAGATTTCCTTTAGATATTTAGAGATTAATCTTTGCATGTAGGAACTGCAGCTTATCATACCGGATCTTCCCCAGATTCACGGACTATGGCAATCCTTAGAGAGAATGGAATTTGTGATTATAAGCACAAGGCTAGAAAGGCAAGCTTTATCTGATACATTCATCACACTGTTGGTTGAACTTTGTTTATTGACATCTCGTCTAGGTTTCTATCAATGATTTCAAGAACTTTGAATACATCTTTGCTATGGATAGCAACAATCTTGAAGATCTTCTCTCCTTGAAACAGAGAACTGAGGGTAAAGCCAAAGTTATGTTATTTGGAGAGTATGCAGGAGGTTCTAGCCCCGAGGAAGTAGATGATCCTTACTATGGTGGGAATGATGGCTTCAAGGCTGCTTATGAACAGTGTACGAGGTTTTCTAAGAATTTCTTGAAGTCGACGTTTCCGGATGTTGAGAAATGAAGGAGATTTGATGTTATGATGCCATGATGCCATGTATATATGGATAGAAGGTTAGAGATCACAATTATATGAATGCTCATTAGTCCATGTATTAGCGGGGGATGCAATTTGACTTTTTGAGAAGCTTTGTACGCCGTACTACTGTATCATGATGACATGCATGGGAAAGTCTTCTTGTCATAGTGATTTTTATGTCATTATCCAAATGTCGGTGAGCATACTAGGTATTTATTAGGATGAGAAGATGGGATTAAGTGTCTGTCAACATAAATTCTCTCTCAAAGAAACGGTGCCAAGACGAATAGCAACCGCATTCTTGTGAATCAACAAGTCTCAAGCATCCGAAGTAAAGAAACCTTTCAACTTCTCATGTATACGACATGATTACCTATGCGCATGAAGGCTGACATGAAGATTGACCACGACCGTTGAAGCAAACTCCCCTCCCCCACCATGGAAAACCCCACTGGATATTAGGTATTCGAATGATGAACCTCCAACATAGCAAACATGTAATTAATGAAATCTTTTCCGATACTACCAAAGTGCACTGCCAACATTCAACAGCTGAAAGGACGCTGCATATGCGTTGCCTTGATTCGTATTTGCAATCGTTCGGACCACTTACAGCCATTATGGATGATTGAACGCGAATCTTTCAGTATCTCAGCCACCATATTCAAGAACTTGAGAAACTCGAGATGTACTTTATAACCCGTGAATATATTACCAAGACAAAGTCAGGTATGAATATAAAGCATGAATGTGACGTCGGAAAATCGGGAAAATCGATCGATGTCATTGAAACCATACGGTAGATGCTTGAACCTTTATACTCAGCCTCAAACGTAGGCTTCCGAGAGTTACCTATACCCAAAAAAGCTTCCCGCTCAAAGGCTCTCTCTCTCTCTCTCTCTCTCTTTCTCACTCTTTCTCACATGGATCTTTGAAGCATCTGCCGATGGTGGCATTTCTTGCATAGCCGCACCTGTAATGTCCAAAAAAGGCTATGTATGAAAGGCCAAATGATCATTGATTGGTTGAATGGAGAATTTGAAGTCTTGCTGCGGAACCTTGCCATGTGCACGTGGTGGATGAATGCATTTGGTTTTAGTGAAGTTTCTATTTTGAGACCATTTTTATAGTTCTTACCTAGTTCTGGGAGCGACGTGTTTCCCTAAACTCTTATATTAGTATGTATGTAGTGCAGCGCTTCGTATACTGATGATTTGACAAAGAGATCCTTATGAGCCACGATTAAGAATAAGAGGCTTTCTAATATAGATTCCGCTTTTTGGGTGAGAGAAGTGAAAAATGAGAAATGGGAGGCTGGGCAATTGGGAACAATACGCGTATATCAAATATATATCAAATATATATCAAATATATATCAAATATATAGTTAATGTAATGATATTATTGTGACACTTGATACCCTGCTTGAATGTAGATCTGTATCTCTCCAGATCTAAGATAATTATCCAATCTTCTCTCGACTCACGAGCCAACAACGTTTACGTACCCAGCGTCATTTCTTTGAGGGGAGGGGAGGGAAATCTGCTCCGTGCTATCCAAAACACCCAAACTCACCTACTATCGATATCTGATGATATGAAACCTTAGAACTGTCTTTCTACAACTCGAGTACCAAGTAGATACAAGATAATCACCACCATGTACAAAAGTTACAAGGGATCTTCTAGGATTACTTTGCCTTGGCAACCACTTTCTGATCATCCACTCGGTTTATCACAATCCCTACCAAATTTCTAACATCCTTTTTAATGCGCGGCCCTTCTCAAGGTGAAACCACCTCTCACAAGCAGAATTCTGTCTTAACTCGGAACAACCTTGCCCAGAAAATATTGCCATCTCTTCTAACTTCTGTCTTCTGTGCTTTCGTATCTTCGTATCCTGACTCTCGGAGCATAAGGAAGGAAAGAATAGGGGTGCAGAAAAGTTAATTCCAACCCTACGCATCAACTGAACCCATCTACAACCTTGCACATCTCACTTGGAGGATTGACGGCAAGACATTCCCAACTGAGCTTGAGCCCATCGCAAGGAACCTCATTTTGCTCCCACGCAATCCCCTTCACCCCACAGATCTCATCACAAATAGGAAGGTTAATTTGATACATCGATACCATGTCCTATAATCGATTAGGTATGTCCTCCTATCTATTTTCGCACATCTATTTTCCACCTCCCAAGCACACGTTATCCGAGTTTCGCATGGTGATAGCAGTGAATGATTCTCAAAATCGGAATCAAATCGTCTTGTTGTCTTGAAGACCATTCACGTCGACCAGTGTATCCAGTTTTGCGGCGCATAGCAACCAACACGAAAAGGCACAATCAAGTTGAACTTTGCTGCGCAAGAAGGATTCCTTGATGGAATACTGAATCACTTTAAACATTCACTCTACCTTCCGCTAGGACAGGCAGAAACATCATCTCTTCTTGTGGAGAGGACTATTTACAAAATACACACTTTTTGTTTGTTTATAATAAGCCTTTCTAATATTCAGCCTACACAGATCCGACGGGCCAAGGCCAAGACGATTATTACAATATGAATAATAGACATCAGTCGCCGCACCCTCAAGGGTACCAACTAGAAGATGCGCCATATGGAAGACCACATACCACTTCACCCAGTCCTGGAATGCACAATCTCGAGATACCTATGGGTCCTGGAGCACATAGAGTTGGAACACCAAGTGATCAGTTGCAAGCTCAACCATCTGTAAGTATATATTTGGCTGAGCCTTGTGCCTGCAGAGAGATATCATTATAGCTAATGTGTATCATACAGTATTCGGTCGAACATTTAGATCAAAGCCAATACCATCAGCGCATGCCCCTCAATCTCACTCAAAGCTACGACTCGGAATATTCTCTAGATCCTAACGCGCATCACGATGCTTACTACCAACCTCCATACCAACCCTCTCCTCATGAAGAACACCCTTTACATAATTACCCCCCAGCGCAAGACCCCTACTACAATGACGATGATGACCATCAACCAATTCTACAATCGCACGAACCTTATGGTCCAGATCCGCACTCAGCTAGTGGCACCGATTATAAAGGTGGTTATGACGGGGCTGGACAATCTCCATCTGCGACGCCTGTACCTACGCTAAGAAGATACAAGACGGTTAAGGAAGTTCAACTGTTTAATGGAAATCTCGTACTTGATTGTCCGATTCCTCCCAAGCTTTTAAACCAAGTCAATCATGCACCACCACCGGAGAGAGATGAGTTCACACATATGAGATACTCAGCCGCAACATGCGACCCCAGTGAATTTTTCGAGGAGCGCTTTACATTGCGACAAAAACTCTTTGCAAAGCCTCGGCATACAGAACTCTTCATCGTTGTTACAATGTATAATGAAGATGATGTATTGTTTGCTAGAACAATGCACGGAGTTTTCAAAAATATTGAATTCATGTGCACTCGCAAGGATAGTAAAACATGGGGAAAGGATGCTTGGAAGAAGATTGTAGTGTGTGTGGTCAGTGATGGACGTGCTAAGATTAACCCAAGAACAAGAGCTGTTTTGGCTGGTTTGGGAGTTTATCAAGATGGAATTGCGAAGCAACAAGTCAATGGCAAGGATGTGACGGCACATATCTACGAATATACAACTCAAGTCGGAATTGCTTTGAAAAAGGATATTGTTACACTCACACCAAAACAGCAACCCGTTCAATTGCTTTTCTGTTTGAAGGAAAAGAATCAGAAAAAGATCAACTCTCACAGATGGTTCTTCCAAGCCTTTGGTAGGGTACTTGATCCTAATATTTGTGTACTCATCGATGCTGGTACAAAACCAGGAAAGGATTCGATTTATCATCTATGGAAAGCTTTCGATTTGGAACCACATTGTGCAGGAGCTTGTGGTGAGATCAAAGCCATGTTGGGTCCGGGAGGAAAGAATTTGCTCAATCCATTGGTTGCTACCCAAAATTTCGAGTACAAGATGAGTAATATTCTGGACAAACCTCTTGAATCGGCATTTGGATTCATTTCGGTGTTGCCAGGTGCTTTCTCTGCATATCGATATGTTGCGTTACAAAACGATAAAACTGGAAATGGGCCACTGGAAAAGTACTTTGCAGGAGAGAAAATGCACGGAGCAAACGCTGGGATTTTCACTGCTAATATGTACCTTGCCGAAGATCGTATTTTGTGTTTCGAATTGGTATCAAAGAGAAATTGTCACTGGATCTTACAATACGTCAAGTCTGCTACTGGAGAAACCGATGTACCGGATACAATGGCCGAACTTATTTTGCAACGTCGAAGATGGCTTAACGGAAGTTTTTTCGCTGCTATCTATGCTCTTGCTCATTTCTATGAAATTTTTCGCAGTGATCACAGCTTTTTACGAAAAATCATGTTCTTGATTGAATTCACATATCAAACAATTAACATGATCTTCGCTTGGTTCGCTCTTGGTAATTTCTTCTTGGTCTTTCACATCCTGACTACATCTCTCGGAAGTGCTGACTTACTGGGTAATGTTGGTGTAATTCTTGGTGTTGTTTTCGAATGGCTTTACTTGTTTACCCTTTTGACCTGTTTCATTCTGGCGCTGGGAAATCGACCTCAAGGAACGAACAAAGTTTATATGTCTATGGTTTATTTCTGGATCATCATCATGATGTGAGTATTTCCACTTTGTTTGATTTTCTCCTACTAACTGGCATAGATACCTAATGTTTGCTTCAATTTTCATCACGGTTAAATCAATTCAAACTCAAATTGCGAAAAACCAATTCAATTGGACGGATATTATCAAGAACCAAATCTTCTATACTCTGATCATTTCTCTCGCCTCAACTTATTTACTCTGGTTCATTTCTTCCTTTTTATTCTTCGACCCATGGCACATGTTCACATCTTTCCTTCAATATCTTCTTCTCACCCCAACATATATCAACATTCTCAACGTTTACGCTTTCTGTAACACTCACGATATTACATGGGGTACCAAAGGAGATGACAAAGCCGAGAAACTTCCATCCGCTGTGCTCAAAGCTGGTGGTAAAGTCGACGTCAACATTCCCACCGACGATGGTGATCTTAACGCTCAATATGAATCCGAAATGCGCAAGATTCAAATCAAAGCTCCACCCGAGAAACGTGAATTCTCGGCAGAAGAGAAGCAAGAAGATTATTACAAATGGTTCAGATCTTCAGTAGTGTTATTCTGGTTGGTTTGTAATTTTGCACTCACAAGTGCGGTGCTTAGTACAGCGGGCTTGGAAAAGATCGATACGAGTACTGATGATACGACGAAGAGTACGATTTATATGGCTGTGGTCTTATGGAGTGTGGCAGGATTGAGTTGTTTTAAGTTTATTGGTGCGATGTGGTTTCTGATTGTTAGGATGTTTAGAGGTGTTTAGTGTTCTAGAGAAAAAGGATATGAGTGAGGAACGGGAAGAATGTGGTTTTGAGAATCGAGGGTTTAAGATATGAATGCACTGGATATGCAATGCATGGATAGGATAGGATAGGATAAAGATACCCTAGTTAGCGGAGGTGGATAGGGGAGGTGGTACATGCAATTTGTATGTACTCGCGTGATTTTACCATTTTTTCTTTCTTCTTCTGTTATGATTCATTAGGAGCGAGAGGATTTGGGAATTCTTATGATTGCATGACTTATTACTTGGTCTCTTGTGAAGGGAAAGGGGTGGTATTTTATATTTATAGAATGGATGGAGTTTTGGGGGGTGGAGATGAGATGGGGGTAAGGGTTGTGGATGTGGATGACGAAAGGAAAGTGTAGAATATTAGGAGAAAGATTATAAAGAGATGATGAGGGGGGTATGAATATGAAATACGAAATATGAAATATGGATAACAAATATTCTTTGAAATGGTGTTTTGTGTGTGGGTGTGATTCATTTGTGGTGTGTAGTGTGTAGTGTGTAGTGTGGGCTATAATAAGCTGGAAGTAAAACTAAGGTAAGGTAATTGCAGATACGGGGAGATAGATAGTATGAAGGAGATCTTGCAAAATTAGCATGTATTGATAAATCTAAATCTTAAATATGAGTTGATTGCGGAGATGATATATATACCTAGTGAGTAGGTAGGTAGTGAGGTAGTTTAGTTAAAGTTTTTGAAGTTTTCGCGTGCATGATTGGGGGGTGGGGTTTAAGTCTAGGCAGGTTAAGGTTAACCGAATCGAATCGAAGGGAAGTGTCCTTAATTTTTGAGAGGTTGGATGAGTATGTTGATACATGTATACGTAGACGGAATTGGTGTGTGAATTATTGTGTGATATATTGATGTTTGGTATCTGATAGGTTTCTGTTTTGTCTTTTGAGAGATTTATATAGTTAGTTACTTGTTTCTTTTAATTGATTGTCGTTTTATCTACTCAAATAAGATTACTTACCTACCTACTTTATATGATCCATATATAATTACTCAGCAATCCATCAAACATCATCTCGCGCTATACCCCCTTCCTCCCTGGTTCAAAATCACAATGCACCCAATCTCTCCCAAACCAACCCATCTCATCCTCCTTACCTGCCACGCTATCTATGTTTCCGGCCCCCTCGAGCTCGAATCCTCATGGCTTCTCGCTCCCTTCCAAAAAGCCGGTCGAGAATGGATCACCTTTATTAAACACATTACGCGTGCAGCAGAATTATGGAGGGGAGATGAGAATAGTTTGTTAGTGATAAGTGGGGGGTTTACGAGAGGAGAGGTGTGCAGGAGTGAAGCGGGAGGGTATTTTGATGTGGGGGTTGAGAGGGGGCTGTGGGTAGTGGGGGATTTGAGGACGGAGAAGGGAGGGGGAAGAATTGTGCTGGAGGAGGAAGCGTTGGATAGTTGGGAGAATTTGGTGAGGGGGTTACTGGCTTTTTGGAGGGAGACGGGGGGGTGGGCTGAAAAAATCATGATTGTGAGTCATGGGTTTAAGAGGGAGAGGTTTGGGAAGTTGCATTGTGGGGTTTTAGGGTTGGGGATGGGGACGAGTTTTGGTCCTAGTAGGGAGAGGAATGATCGAGAGGATGGGAATGGGAAAGGAAAAGGAGTGGAAGTTGTATTCGAAGGAATCAATCCCGAATTTATGGATAAGGAGAGTGAGGAGTTTGATGCGGAGAAATGCGAGGATACGATGAAAGGGGAGAGGGAAAGGGGTTATGGGGAGTGGGAAAAAGATCTATGGGGGACGGGGATGGTGTTAAGGGGGAAGAGGGGAGGAAGGGATAAATGGGGTGTGAAAGGGGAGGAGAGAAGATTGTTTGAGAGTGAGGAGGAGAGGGAGAGGAGTGGGTTGAAAACGAGGTGGTTGGAAGAGAGGGAGGGAGTGAGGAGAGAGGAGGTGATTGTGGAGGAGGGGAGTTGGCCTTGGAATTGTTAGGAGGGTGGTAGGGTGATGAGTGGGTTTGTGAGGTTTGGGATAGATGGATATGTATTTTTATCATTTCTGCGAACTCAAAATTCAAAACAAAACTGAAGACTTTGACACCAAGTTCATTTGTGATGGTGTACACTCCACGTCTTTTTTCCTTCTTTGAATACGGAATATCTTCAACTCAACGGGCTGAAAGTAATTCTATTCCCAAGGAAAGTCTTGATAGAATTATAATCACTCCATTCAATACTTGTCTTGAGTTTATTGATTTGCAATGGTTTGAATTCTAGGAGAGTTTCGTTGAGATATTACTAAATAGGTAGCTAATCTCTTTCACTGACATCATAAAGATCATCTAGAAAGGAAAGCGAGAAAGTTAGAGCTTAGGCTAGATGGATTTCGCTTATTATGGCAGGAACTCTTCAACGTGAAAGAAAGGATTTAGAAAGTTGTGTACCAAAAAGGCGATTGCTCTTTCTCTATTCCAGATTTACGCTCGATTTACTTGGAGTGGGTTGTTATTTTTAAGGATTTTATTTGAATATGGAATTACATGTCTACCTAGTAGAGTCTCCCAAGATGAATCCAAGTTTTGAAATATTGCGAAATGTAGACTTGCAACTCTGATAATTTTCACAGTCGCTCTTTCGTTATTTGTACTTTTAAATGTGGAGATGATGATGATATGAGGAGAATGAACTTTTCTTGCTGCAAAAACAGAACCTCGAGAGTTGGTGATGAAGATATATAGACTTGATTATTTCTCTTCCTTTTCTTGTTTTCTTTTCCCTAATAGGAAATAGGTAGGAAATAGATGTATACGATACCAGCATCACAGATCCTAGCTACGTAATATAATTCTGCATCATCCTCTCTCACACTCTGGCCTTTGGCACTGGTTCGCGTTTATATGCTCTCATTCTCATGATCGCCTTCGCTCAGAAAGGGCTAGAAAGGAACGCTCAGTCAATATTACTTCACTCTTCATTCATTCAAGCTCCCTTGACTTAAACTGGCCAACCTTTGGAGTCAAACGACGTCTTTCAGTTAGGTAAACTGACCTCCTCAAGCATTATTACAATCCGCCTGAGATATGCACGGGAGTTGTTTTGGCTAAATCAGACGATAGTACCTAGGTATGTTGTTACTATTCTAGATGAGTTTGGGACTCTTTACTTCATACCTTCCTCTCCAAAATCTATCCTCTCCTTCACTATTTCCAACCTCATCTCATTTCGTTCAAGTGTCAGCTGATCACCTCAGATATCAAGGCATGATCGATTCATTCACAACTACCACCGAGAATTCACTTTCGCTTTTATAGAATAAGCTTAATTTCGGAATCGGTAACTGTACCGGCCAATATTTAAACCGCTCTATTTAAACCTCAACCTTTTACCTCATGTTACAAAATTCTCGGCCCATCAACCGCATAACTATTCTCAATACAAAATTCGTACCGCAAACCTTCTACATCTTCTCCACTTGAGAAAGTACCCATCTACACCTTCACACACATCTCATCAACATTACAGCAGATCCAAAAAAATGTCTTCGATAAAAAATGAAAGCGCACCTCCTTCTCGTTCAAATTCCATTCCACCATACGTATCTGACTCGGAACCCGAATCGGGTTCACTTTCTCCGCAGCGAGAAAATGGAAATCGACATGATGACCGCGAGTTTATGAATGGATATACTCATTTTTATTATCGAGATGGAGGTGGAAATGGAGGTTCTTATTATGGCCATCGTCGGGTTGAACGACCGGGTGGATACGAATATGAGAATGATGATGGTATGAATAGATTTGGTGATGAGTATATTAGAAGAGAGGATGATGGCGAGGAGAGAGATGACAACGAGCAAGACGAAAACGAGAACGAAGATTACGAGCAAGAAATCAAAAACGAAGATTCATCAGAACCAGAACTTGAACTCTCAATCGAAATCGACGATATGCAAATGAACGTTCCACTTACCCAACAAATCCTACTTTCAGACATGGAAGGTTCAGAAGACGAACTCAACTCGGATAGAAACTCCTCAACCGCGTCTGAGGATTGGCGTAACATGAACTTCAACCGAGACGATGAAATTGCTACTCCCGCTCTTCCCACCCAAGAAGAAATCATGGCTACTGAGGTGGAACTTCAAAAGCAAATATATAAAGCCCTTCAGGAGGAGAAAATTCGTCAAGATATAGCTGCTGCCAATCATAAACCTACTCCTGATCCCAGTCCCACCATTCGATTTCTCGCCGTCGGAGCAGATATGTGCGAGGAATTCATGGAAATTCTATGTCCGGATGTAAAATTAATTGGAATAGGTAGATTAGATGGATGGATGTTTTGTGTTGATGAGAAGGTTGAGGGAGTGTGTTGTTATCGAAATATCGTACCGAATGCGAACTTGGAGAAAGAGGAAGTAGAAGCAGAATATATTACTGTTGATAAAGTCGTCTATGGATTGATTTGGGAGGTTCATGAGAACACACTTTATACGCTTCTTGAGATGGATAAGAAGGGATGCGAACCTCAATTCGAAATGGCGCGTGTGGATGTTATGAAATTGGAATGCAAAAGTTTTGGACGAGCGTTTGGAATGGGGTGGGGATTGAAGAGGGAGTTGAAGGAGGTAGGGATGGAGAAGGATGTGGTGGTTTTTACGGGAACACCGGGGGGTATAGGATTAGGGGAGGGGTATAATGAGGGGGTTAATAGGGGAATTGTGGAGGGCTGTATGAGAGGAATTCCGGATGAGTGGGTGGAGAGTGATGTGAGAACTTGGGTACAGTATCCTTATGTTCCGGTACCGATGAAGTAGAGGTTGGATGTGGAGTTGACGGAGGGACGTTGAAAAAGTTTGTTGGAAGGAATCTTCTGAATAGAGCGAGAAGAAGTTTGAAAGACACACGAGGGAAACTTTCTCTAAGTGGAGTCTCAAAAAATTAGGTATGATTCATACAATCTCGCAAGCGGAATTGAGGATAATCTTATGGTATATGCCATGCTGTTCTATGACTGGAGAAATGGGAGAAGTGCAGACATAGACTTTGAGCTTCATGATGAACAGATTACTTCTGTTTGTTTCTGAGTGGATAGGAGAAGCATCTGCATTGATGATAATATAGAATGCCGTTGGTTGAGTTTAGAGTAATTTAAAAAGTCTGACAACGAATGATAATCAATCAATCAATTCATCGCTGTGCTTGTAAGACAACTATTCTCTTGCATGTTGGGGAAAGTAATTGTGACTTCAATGCCCGATATATCCAATATGTAGTGATGTGCGAAACAAAGTAGTAAAAACTTGACAAAAAGAGAGGTGCTAGCAAATTTGGTATAAACATCAAACAAGAGATAGAAGGATAGAATACTTGAGAGAACCAATCTACCTAGACATATATATCGACCAACTCCCACAATATATATATATAGCCCAACAATCCCCCTCCTCATTCTTCTCTCCCCCATAAAACTAAATTTTTGCCTGACTACCCGTAGCCTCTCCCATCTTCCCCGCCAACGTCTCATTCACAAACTCCACCGTGTCACCCAGCATATCCTTACTAAACGCATGGCCCACCCCAGGATACACTCTATCATCCACAAACAAGCCTCCTTCCTTCCACCACCCCGTTTGCGCATCCGTTGCATTTTTAAAAAATTGTAGAAAGGGCGCAGAACAATGATAGGGGACTAACTTGTCGTCGGCGCCGGAGCAAACGAGAATACGTTTGTGGGCGAGTTTTTGAGTGAGGATGGGTGTGTAGAGGGAATGGGCATGGGGGGATGGTGGGGAGGTAGAGGGAATGGGGGAGGTTCCGAAGAGGATGGATGCAGGATCCCATTTTTGGAGACTGGAAATTAGGGCGGGGGGAAAGTCTTTGCTGCCCTGGAAGGAGATGCCGGGGGGAGAGGTGGATGTGTAGGTGGGGAGTTTGGAGAGCCGCGCTCGGTCGGTCATTATTCCTGGAATGGGTGTTAGTAGGGGTGAGTGGTAGGCTGGTTTGTTTGTTGTGTGTATTCCCCCTTGTTTTGGACGTGAAGAGGATTGTTTTGTGTAGGAGTGAATTTGCTCTTTCATTCTTCGCTTGACTCCATCATCGACAGTGTTTACTGCTTGTTGAGTTTGTTTGGTGATTTCATGCGGTCATTGGGTAACTATTCCTAGATTGATCTTGGATTTAACCAATGTATTGAAGTTTGGAGGATTACACCTGACCGTTTTTGGATGAGTGAGTTTGGAGAGTTTTCTTTCCAAATGCATGGCTCACTCGAGGATCTCCTCTTCTTCGTCACAAAAATAGAAACAAGCTTATCTCCGGATACTCTGGTTAATCGAATCTATGACCAAGACCAACATATAGATGCAGAAATTGGATCATCCAACATGTAATATGTCTTTCTGGATCCTAACACTTGTGAAAGCGGACTTACGCATGTAATCCGGGCATCCAATAATCACAACACCAGCAGTGACTCTTGGATCAGCAAACAAAACTTGCCATGCTGAATGACCTCCGAGAGAGATACCCAAGACAAGGTGTTGATCGATGGAAGGGGAATCTCTGGTATTGAAGACGTAGGAAGGCAAATGATCTATCAGGAGACTTGTATCCATTGCGGTTCCATGAAATATACTATATTGAATGAGCCATTTTCAACACACGAATACTGCAAGGTGTCGAACCTGAACATATCTTGAGCATGAGTTTCATTACCATCTCTCCACGATTCATTTGCTAAAGCATTGACTTCTCTGCTTCCGTGATTTCTTTGATCAAAAGCGACCGCGATCAAACCGACCGTTCGATTTGAACCCGATAGTTGATTCCATTCTTGAATACACGTGGAAGCTACGTTTTCCATGATTTTCTTCGTTTGGAGTCGTGGGTGGAGAAGCCAGAGACATGATATGGATGTACATGATGGGGATATTTCCTCGAGACCATAAATGGTTGTTAGGATACCAGCGATGTGAAAAGTTTTTTCTGATACAGATATAGCTGAAGAAGAATTTTCAAGAGGATTAGGGGTAGCCATGGTATTTGAAGCGAGTCCTGGTATATACTCGAGTATTGAAAGCTAGATGGGGAAGCGAGCAACCGTTTGAACAAAGCTATTGAGCTCGGATGAGAAAATTATCAAGGTTAATAAAGGTGGTGTAGGATAAAAGAAAGAGTGGGGTTGTGAATGCAATGCAAGATCTTTTAATCTTTCAGATCTTCACTCCACTTACTCGTGGCAAGGGGTCTATCTGGTTGAATTAGTCAATATAAATAGGTAGTTTATAGATGTGGTGTGGTGTCTCCTTCCTCTCCCTGTGTCTTCCCCAGACGATGTTCGAATTTGAGCATATACCTAGGCAGTGTTTGACGATGGAAATGATAATATAATGAGGAGGTTTTATAGATATTTCCATACATAAATCTATCATCTGTGTATATATACGATGCACTACTACATCGTATATTACCCAAAACCTAGGCATAACTTTTCTAGAAGACGAAGAAGGCGCGGCAAATGGCAGAACGATTTAAAGGGGATCTACGGTGTACGGTGACCCCTAGTCAAACGTCATTTCCTATGTATCTAACAGTAATCCCTGGGAGATTGGCTCCCTTTTTACTTTGAAATACTAATAACCCTTACCTAGGAATTCTAATAATACAAAATCTCTAAACGACTTTTAATTATTCTTCGAGTATACATTTCGTAAGATACCTTCTTCGTACTCGAGTAGGTACATTTGAAACCTTTGAAACATTTTCAATTGTCAAATCTCTTGCACATTCTTTCAGTCGAGATAGGCACCTGTTACTCTGTACATTACCTCCCTATTTACTCGAGTATCCAGGTTAGTGATTGAGCTTTCGAACAGTGCAATCAACCAATTGGAAACGATCAACAGACCCATACCTTGGTTCCCCCTCAAAATCAACCACTCTCGAACACCCTTGGATCTGTCAATATTGTATTCACAACCCTGGACGGGAATTCGATTCGATTAACCTCTACAACCTACAATACAATTGCTCACAATGAACTTTGCGATATACATCTAATAGCACGATATTGTCCTTACCGGACCTCAGCTTGTAGGACATCGAGATTACTTCCAGAAAGAATCCCCCTACCATCAAAACCCTAGAGTTTACAATGGCACAAAGCACAACAGGCTCAATCTCACCATCGACACGAACTCCACGCTCACAATCGCCTATAAACACTCATGGAAATGGAGCTACACCCGCAAGACCATCGGGTCTACGGACTGTGAGTTCTGAGAAGCCTGGAAATTCACTCAATCTGGCTATACCTACACCGACTTCAAATGCAGCGAGCAACATCTCTGAAGAGGCAGTCGATTATATGAATGGTGGCGTTCCACATCATACTCCCATAGCTTCTACGTCAGATGCCATCTCTCCTGGAACATCTGCCAATAATGCGGGCTCCAGCTTTTCTCCAGTCCCTCCCCCATCGTCATTCCCTCATGAGAGCCATTCCGCAACGAACGGTATATCAACTCCACCCGGCAGACGTAGCGTGTCATTTGCTAGAGATATGACGACTGTCGAACCTCCGAATTCCGCACGACAAGATTCATGGGGTATGGAAGATAATGACACGCCTGCGAGGGATAGGAGGGGTGCATCTATAATGTCGAAATTGAAAGCGTTAGCTACACCAAGTGGAATGCAGGGGCATGGCAGAAGTCAGAGCACACCGACAAATTATTTTGATGAAGGACTTGGAACAACACCAATTGCCACAAATATTCCACAAACATTACACGAGGAAAGTAGTGATGCAGATGCGGAAGAAACTGCAGATGAGGGTACATCCAATCAACCCGCACGCATAAGAAAGAAACGCCGAACGAGAAGACCACAAGAAGAAGACAGTGCGCCCAATACACCCAGGTTTCGTGCTGGACCATCGGACTCCCCAGGTGGAAGTCGATCATTTTTCTTGGGTAGGCGAGCAACCGATGGGTCTTTGGAACAAAGGGGCCATTTATCAGAAGGCGAAGGGCGTGATCGTTTCAACGGCAAAAGTGCATGGCGACGAGGAAGTTCATGGATGCCAGGTCGAGGATCAATTCCTGATACGTCACCACAAGCACAAGATTTTGCAAATGTTGATGGCGCAAGATCAAAGAGACCAAGTCAATTCAGAAGAGTGACAGGACTTGGGGGACAAAGTGAGGGCGAAGCGCAAACGCCTAGAAGACCAGGGTATTTTGGCGCAGAAAGAGCTAGTACTTTTGGCACTCAGAAATGGCGGATGATAAAGCACAGCATGAAATTCTTTGCTGGCAAAGCCAAGAAGGAAGATAAGGTTGACTATCTTAAATCTACTGAACTCATGGCGGAATTACGGGCTGGCGCCCCTGCAGTACTTATGTTTGCTAGCATGATGCAACGCGATGAGCATGGAAATAAGAGAATCCCAGTCCTTCTTGAGCAACTAAAAATTGAGATCACGGACAGCAAACCCATCGACGAGGATGCAGATGACTCTGAGAGACATTTAGTTTTCCGAATCGAGCTTGAATATGGAAGTGGTCCAAATCGAATGAAGTGGATAATTAATCGTTCCCTCAAGGACTTCGCCAATTTACATTTACGATATAAGCTCCAAGGAAATAGTGATAAGTACTTAGGGAACGAAGCCCACGCGCGACCAAAGCAACCAAGATTTCCAAAATCCGCATTCCCATACTTCAGAGGTGTTAGAGGGCTAGGAGAGAGTGATGAAGATGAGGCTGATAACGTTCGTGCGGAAGAAACAGCTGGCGAGGCGACTCATGGCGACATGGCTCACGGCGACTTAACCCATGGTGAGGCCACGCAAAGCGAGGCAGAACCAAAACGTAAGATCAAGAGGCGTCCATCGATGAGTGCTGCAAGAAAAAGTACTCGTGCGATCTTAGATGTTAGCGGTAATGCAGTTAGTGCTGAAAAGCAGAAGAGAATATTCAATGAGCGTCAGCGAAGAAGATTGGAACAATATCTTCAAGAAATGATTCGATGGCTCATCTTCAGAGCGGATAGTAACCGCCTGTGCAGATTTCTGGAACTATCCTCGATGGGAGTACGTCTGGCTGCTGAAGGTAGCTACCATGGAAAGGAAGGTTATCTTGCTATTCAATCGTCAAAGGGCTTAGATGTCAGGAGAATACTTACGCCTAATAACTTTTTCGAACGTCATTCTCCAAAGTGGTTTTTGGTTAGACACAGTTATCTTGTGTGTGTTGAGTCGCCAGAAAACATGCACATCTATGATGTGTATCTGGTGGATGGAAAGTTTGAGATACAGAAGAAGAGGAGAAAGATATCTGAAATGGGCAAAGGAAAAGCGAAAGTGAAAGAGGAAGTTTCACAAGCAGGTAGATCTGCTAAGCACCCTCAACACCACACTCTCAAACTTCGGAATTCCGAGCGCAAGATCAAGTTACTGGCTAAGAATGAGCGTCAACTCAGACAATTCGAGGAGTCGCTAAATTACATGGCTGCCAACACACCATGGGCGAAAGAACATAGATTTGGTAGTTTCGCTCCAGTGAGAACTGGGGTTACTGCACAGTGGCTTGTAGATGGTCGTGACTACATGTGGAATGTTTCTCGAGCAATTAATGAAGCAAAGGATGTGATTTATATTCACGATTGGTGGCTCAGTCCTCAACTTTACATGCGAAGACCTGCTGCTATCAGTCAGAAATGGAGACTTGATCGTTTGCTACAGAGGAAAGCTAGGGAGGGAGTCAAGGTTTTCATCATTGTCTACAGAAATGTTGAGGCTGCTATTCCTATCGATTCTGAATTCACAAAGTTCTCTATGTTGGATTTGCACCCAAACATTTTCGTACAACGATCGCCTAATCAATTCAAAAAGAATCAATTTTTCTTTGCGCATCACGAAAAGATTTGTATAGTCGACCACATAGTTGCATTTGTTGGAGGTATCGATCTTTGTTTCGGTCGTTGGGATACTCCTCAGCATACTGTGGTGGATGATAAACCTACAGGTTTTGAGCATTCCGATTCGCCTAAAGATGCTGATCATTGTCAGCTCTGGCCAGGAAAAGATTATTCTAATCCACGTGTTCAAGATTTCTACAAACTTAACGAACCCTATGCAGAAATGTATGATCGTTCCAAGACTCCTCGAATGCCTTGGCACGATGTTGCTATGCAAGTCGCCGGTCAACCTGCTAGAGATTTGACCAGACATTTCGTGCAAAGATGGAACTATGTACTTAGAGGCCGTACACCTACAAGGCCAACACCCTTCCTTCTTCCACCTCCTGATTACAATCAGGCCGAATTGGAAGATCTTGGTCTCACTGGAACTTGTGAAGTTCAGATCTTACGTTCAGCTTGTGATTGGTCCCTCGGTCTTACGGATACCGAGCATAGTATTATGACTGCTTATTGCAAGATGATTGAAGAGTCGGATCATTTCGTCTACATGGAGAATCAATTCTTCATCACAAGTTGTGAGACGATGAATGTAAAGATTGTCAACAAGATCGGTGATGCAATCGTAGAGCGTGCTATACGCGCTTATCGAAACAATGAGAGTTGGAAATGTATGATTCTCATACCACTTATGCCTGGATTCCAGAATACTGTGGATGAACCAGAGGGAACAAGTGTGCGCTTGATCATGCAATGTCAATTCCGAAGTATCTGTCGTGGTGATGGGTCTATTTTTGGACGATTGAAGAGTCAAGGTATCGACCCGGAGGAATTTGTACAGTTCTACAGTCTTAGAACATGGGGCCGAATCGGTCCAAAGAAGATGGTCGTTACAGAGCAATTGTACATTCATGCCAAGGTCATCATTGTGGATGACAGAATCGCCCTGATTGGTTCTGCTAATATCAATGAGAGATCTATGTTAGGTAATAGAGACTCGGAAACTGCAGCCGTTGTTCGAGATACTGATATGATATGGTCGACAATGGATGGTAAACCATATCTTGTTGGAAAATTTGCCCATGAATTACGCATGCGTCTTATGCGAGAACATTTGGGATTGGATGTGGATGAGATTATGGAAGATGAAAAGACTCATGAACTGGACCGTGAAGAAGAAGAATTCAAAGCACAGATGGATGGAATATACGACGACGAGGAAGATGAAGGTAGCGACGGTAGTCCATCGCCGGCTAAGGGGGTTTCTAATGAATTCTCTACCCGTGTTACTTTGAACGAGAATGTACGCAGCTTCAATCATGATGTTGATTGGGAACAAGAAGGCAATCCCAACATACAACCCGAAAAGTTCAAGCCATTGACCACGGATAAAAGAGTTATAAATAACACGGCTCATGCAGCAGATGTGGACGGTGATGGAACCGATAAACTAAAATCTCTATCACAAATAGGACAAACCAGGGGTAGAGATTCTGTCCTCGTTGAAGGTGGTCGCGAAGTGCTAGTCACTGATGTTGCTCCAGAAGGCAAGGGTACTTTGAATCAACCTAAAAGACCTCATGCGCGATCTATACCACCTCCAAGAAAGAACAGCTCTGATAGTGGGAACGGGTACATTGGATTGCCACCTCCTCCTCAATTGGTAAGGAGAACAACAGAGCAGCTTGGTCTTTCACAACTTTCTCAATTACCGGCATTACCAGTTATGGATGATACCGACATTGGTGGCCCACCTATAATTATAGATGCTTCCGGAAATACTGTACCCAAACCTTTCAGTCCCTTGACGGCGGACATCAAGATGGCGCAAGTACACAAGGACTGTATGCGTGATCCATTGAACGATGCTTTCGCGGAAGAAATTTGGCAGCAGATCGCCGAAAACAATACTAAGATCTATCGCAGAGTCTTCAGGTGTAATCCAGATAGTGAAGTGACAAACTGGCATGAGTATAGAGAATTCGTTGCTTATGCAGAAAGATTTGTACAAGCACAAGGAGGTGGAAAAACTAACGAGCGAGAGGGACAAGACTCGACCAGTCGACATGGACCTCCAGGTTCAACCTCAGTCGGAAATCCTCTTTCCGAAAAGCTAAAACCAAATAGTCAAGGCGGTACTCATCCTCTTGGAACAGTATCTGAATGGGTTGCAACCGCTAATGCAGAACATGATGCTCGAGCAGCCGTCAATACATCTGATGAGAGTCGTTTGGGTCAATTTGACGGTACTGATGAGAAAACTGCTGCTCGTAATGAAGCAGTATCTCCAATTGGACCGTCTGGCAATGAAGCATTCCCTGCTCTCGACGCTACTGCTTTGGGTGTGCCTCCTACTAATGGGACAACCTCTCAAGCTAGTACTCGCAAGACTACTTTCTCTACAACACCAACACCCAGCGGTGATAGAAGAGAAAATAGCAGTTCTATGAATCAAACTGGATCAGTTAGGAAGAGACGTCGTGGTACTACGAGGGGCAGTCGCAAGGGATTCTCGGGAAGCGATGATCTGCTCTCTACTGAAGATGTTGAGGATCTATTGGCGATGATCCAAGGTCATCTTGTCGTATTTCCTTACGATTGGCTTATCAAAGAAGAACTTAACTCCAACTGGCTTTACCAAGTCGACCAAGTCGCTCCTCTACAAATTTAGTAAGTTAAAATTTGTCCTTAAATTACAGTCGACATTCGCTAACCCGTGAAATAGTAACTAGTATTTGATGGCAACGCTAGATAGCGCCTTGTATATTTCATTTCATTTGTGTACAGCTTATAATATAACAAAGAGGAGCATTCTCATGGGACGGCGTTTCCGTACAGATTTCTAGCATAGGAAGAAGGCAATGGAGATTGGAGTTCATTTTATTTCAATGGTCTATTTTGTCGAAAAAGCTTGTGAGGTACTACACTTAGATTAATCGTATAAATCTTTTTATCAAATATAAACCCTGTCACTTTGTACGACAGTGTGTACCCAATATTTATACATTTTTTGAACATCGCATCATACCCTCTCGCTAACCCAAATTGCCCCTCTACATCCCGCTCTGATAACGCCAGTCAACAATTCGTGAGGCACAGCTTTCTTCGCATCATGTTCAACAGCGTGGTCTAAATGTTCTAGTTCCTCATCTCGAATCCTCCTGATAGTTTCCAATAATTCCGTCAACTCCTCTCCCAATTCCTCACCCCTCGCCTCCATCTGCGCCTTCATCTCCAATAAAACCTGCACCTGCTCATTATAATGCGTCCCAATCTCTGTCTCAACAGCCTCTGTACATGCCATTGCCGCTTCTCTTCCCATTAAACCGGTTCCCCATCCTAAAGCCGATGCAGCTAGTGACCAGACAGGAGTTAATGCGGTTGGACGTATGCGATGTTTAGCAAGTAGATGATTGAAGGTGGCAAAGTGCCCTGCTTCTTGATCATACATGTGCGCCATTAGAGGACGCAGGTGAGGGTGTGCATTTGTAATTGGAGGAGTTTGCGCCGTGTAGATCAGGGTTGCGGCGAGCTCGCCGGCGTGATTGACACGCAGGGCGCTGGTGAGGAAATCTTTTTGGGATTGGGTCAAGGGCTTATTTGAGGGAGAGGCGTTGAGAATGGCTTCTGCGCCGGATCGAGGAGCGGGGTGGGATGGATTGGTGGTGTGGTGTTCATGCGCATTTTGAGAATTGGGTGAGGAGGTAGTGGTAGAAGTAGCCGACGAGGAGGATGGCGGGGTTGTGGAGAGCTGGCGAATAACGCAGGATGATCTGGGGAAATTGATGAAACTTGGAGCTAGGAAATCGTAGAGAGGTGATTGAGTTGTGAGAAGTGATCGAGCAGAGCGAGTGGAAAGTCTATATGTATTCATTTTGGTGGTTGATGTTTGTACAAGTCGTCTATAAGTCTAATTCAGTGCTGGAAATGATAAAATATATAAATTGACCTCAGAAATATTTCCATCCCTCATTTCCATGACGCCTAGAACACCGGAGCTTCGGTGATTCACTAGTACGATGACATGCCTTATCATCACGTTATCGTAATAATGACTAAGTAAATTGCGCTAGATACACGCTAATGTCCTACCAAGGAGAGCCGGCTGAATTGTTCTACTGTAATGTTCTCATGTTCTCATGTTCTCAAAAGATATAAATCCATCAATTCACTTTATTTCAAACCTACACTTCGATCCTTTAAACAAATTTCAGAAGAAACTATAGATTTCCTTTTCTATCAGTCTCTCACATAAATCTACTACTTACAATTCAACAACTAATAACCTTTTACTTCACGACATTTGGATAAACTTTAAATTACGCACTTTCGGTCGTATCTCAATACAACCACCCTTTTACTCCTCCGACATACATCTCAAAGGGTCTTTGATCTACAATCGCATCCTTGAAATATACCGAAACTTGCTATATTCGAAACTTTACAATGGCGGACATTGATGATGAACTTCTCGCTCTTGCTGGAGATGATTCTTCAGGAGATGAGCAGGTCGCTTCAAATGACGGAAGGCACAGTTCTTCATCACCCGATCGCAATGGAAATATAAAGAGTTCAGCTAAGAAGGGAGGAAAGAAGGGGGGTAGACGAAATGATGATTCTGAAGAAGAAGGTGAAGCGTAAGTGTTCTTTTAGCGTGGCTATCCATCTAATGATATTATATTCCATCCTGTCGCAAATTCGCAAAAATCGATATCGCGAGATATTCTTACAGCAGTCATATCCAGCCATATATTATACTAATACGATTAATAATAGTTCTTCTGGTGAAGAATCTGTTCGTTCAGAACGATCGGCCCCAATGGATGAATCTGATTCCGATTCTGATGGCCCAGGTTTCCGCGATGATGCTGATCGTTATCCTCTCGAAGGTCGATTCATGAATGCTTCTGATAAAGCAACTATCATGTCTATGCCTGAAATCGAACGTGAACAGGTCTTGGCTGATCGTGCACAAGAAATCGAGAGGGATCGACAAAATAGAGTACTTCGTCAACTTCTGAATGGACGTGATGCTGCGGACAAGAAGGCAGAGAAAAAGCGCAAGGCGGGCACTGCAGATTTGGATGACAATCAGCGTAAGACATCTCGCCAACGTACCAAACTGGGTGGTGGAAAAGTTGGAGAAGCTAGTACTGGAATCGATAGTCTCAAGCGCGCAAGAGCTGAGAAGAATGATCGCCAACGTCGCCGCGAAGAAGATAAAGAGCGCCGTGGAGGTGATAGTCGCAGAGATAATCGCGATGATTATTCAGATGATGGATCTGATGAAGATAGTGAGGTTGAGTGGACAGCATCAAAGTCAAAGAAGAGATCTGCATCTCCAGATTACCGTGATGCAGAGCCAGCAGTTTTATACGATCTTGAACGAGTTCGAGTTGGTAGAAGTAGATTTGCCATGGTCTGCTTCTATCCTGGCTTCGACGATGCTATTACTGGATGCTTCGTTCGGGTAAATATTGGTGTTGATAAGGAGACGAATCAGAATCTTTATCGCATGGGTCTCGTCAAAGGTTAATGCATTGAAATCATTCTTGTATTAGCCCAAGCTAATTTATTCTAGGCTTCAAAGAAGATAGACCATATGCTATGATGTCTGCTAATGGGAAGCAATTCTCAACAACACAATATGTGATCGCTGCACACGGAAAATCTGAAAGATCATGGCCATTCATTGCTTGTTCAGATTCTCGATTCACAGAGGCAGAATGGCAAAGATATAAGCAAAATTGCATCGCAGATGGCATACCTGTTCCAACAAAGCCAAAGTTGATGCAAAAGTGTGCAGAAATCAACGCTCTCGTTAACCGACCTTGGACTGAAGAGGAATTACAAACAAAGTTAAAGAAGTCGAGTGTTTTGACCGAGAAATGGAATATAGCAGAACGTGCGCGTCTTAACAACGCTATCAAGGAGCAGAAGAGCCTTGGAAATACTGAATTGGAAGAGAAATATCGTTCAGAGCTCGAGACACTTGAAAGTGCCAAATTAGCTTATGGCACTACACTTAAGCCCACGCCAAAGAAGAAGACCATCCACTCCCAACAAGATCGACTTGCCGAACTCAACCGAACCAATCGTCGTAAGAATATCGAGGAAGTACGCCAAGCACAAATTAACGAACGTCGTGCAGCACGACTAGCTGAAGCAGCAATTGCTCGTGGAGAAATTGTTGATGAAGATCACTCACGTCGTGTCAAGACTAGAGCTACTTTCAAACATGATCATACTGGTGGAAAGGACAGTGCAACAGCTACTCCAGTCGGTGGAACTTCGACCAATAATACTCCTAAATTAGCGGCTAAGAAGGAAGCATTGCCTGTACCAGATTTTAGTAGGCTGCAGACGACTTCTAAAGGAGGAGTTCCAGGGTTCAGAAGACCCCTTATGGATGATGATATTATTGCTAGTATTGATATTGGGATTAGTGATGATTTGGAGTTGTAGGGAATGGCTATTTGGTCACTGGGTTGGAGAAAGGTGGGAGGTGATGAGATATGCCCACGCACTTTTCATCGAAGAGTTGCTACTAGTCGGATATAATTGTATTTACATATTGGGGAAAGATTAGGATCTCGAAAGGGAAACATGTTATGGTATGAATGGGTGCAGGCGGGTTACTATGGAAGGGATAGGCAGAGATTAAAAGCTTGAGGGTTATTATCTGTGGGATTTTCTTCAACAGCAAGCGTGGGCTGCCTCCTTGGTTGGTTATTTTTGATTTTAAAGGGATACGGTTGGTGATGAATGAATGTTGGTTTGAGGCGAGGAGACGAGTGAAGACGAAGAGATACGGAGGATGGAGAAATGCATGGAGGGATGGGAATTGATAGCGAAAGTAGATGAAGGGGGTGTAGACCCGAAAATTAGAAAATAGTTAGAGACATACAGCAGACTAGTGCTTCTGGATCTAATCAGCGTAATGCGCAGACGTAGCGAGTAGACGTAGCGAGTAGATGAATTCAAGGGGTATCGAAATCATAAATGTTTTTCTGAACTAAGTTGAAGATGTGGATGTAGATGTGAGGATGTGAGGGTGATCGATAGATATACATAACAATAGACACACTTAATAGAGCGATTTACGTATTTACGTATTGTTACTGCTCGTATCCGGGATGAAATGAGAAATGAGAGATAAAAAATCTAGAACCTTGGAAATTCTATGTTTTTTCGGATTAAAATTCCGGATCTCACCCCTCCTTCCATCTCGCCTTCGCTTCTGACCAACCAAAAATCTTGATTGTAAAGGAATAAAGAGAAATACTTACCGGAAGTTGAGGTTCATTGATTTCATGTCATGTCATGCTAAGTGTGTTGGGTTGTGTTTTATCATGTCGAGTGTTGTATTATGTCGAGTATGTTGACGGTTGTTATGTACATACGTAATCTTACCTTCCTAATCCGTCCCGGCGAGGAGATCTTGATTCTTGACTCTTGGGATTTTGGGAGGCTTGGTGATTTGATGGGTTGGTGATCAAAGTGGAAAATAGGCAGGAAGGCAGGGAAGGCCAGGAAGGTAAAGAAGGTTCAGGAAGGCTATGGGAATGCATGTTCATCGAGGGATTATTCGAGATTGGAATCTTGTGTTTTGTGTAGTTGGCTGGCTGGCCGGCTGGCTGGCTAGAGATGGACGGTGGATGAGGATCGGGGAAGAACGACATTGGAGATAGGAGGCAGGACTTGGGACAAGAAATGCTTGGTGTATGATGTACGATGTACGATGTACGATGTATCCTGATTCCTATGCCATGTACAATGTACTCGGTGACTGACTCAATCGGTAAGACTCTCAGACCGATAGACTCTCAGACCGACAAACCAAATCGTCAGCACAGTTCGTTCGGTTACCTACAGATTTCAGGTAGATATCTATCTATGTATAGAGTGAGTAAATATGTGCGTGAATATGCACACAACCCCCGGAACCCGGATCCGCCTTCCGAGCCGTTGAAACTTATTACAATTGCAGGAAAGCAAGCGGTGTCCACGCGCATGAATCAAAGTTAGCAAACCCAGTATATCAATTAAACAGAGTTTGGCTGGATGGGTTGGATGGCTTTGATGGGGATGAGGATTGTGAATGGGACTAGAAATAGGACTAGGAATAGGACTAGGACTACTATGTAGGTAGGTAGATGAGTGATTTTATGGTGATATGGTGATGGCTAGTGGTGAATGAATGAATGCTTCACCGATAGTTGGGATGGAAGGACACGGATACCAGAATAACCTTAACTTTACTCTGTACATGGGGCAGGATATTTTTGGATTGGATTGGCTGTTCCTGCATGCGAATGCGTGGGACGGCGTGGGACCCCGGTGAGTGGATGGGTATGAGATCATGCTTGCAGATGGGTATGGGTATGATTTGGTTTGTGTGTATGGTAGGTAGGTCATCGTATTTCCAACCAGACGGATGGATGGATGGAAAGGAACTTGGAGGTTCGGTTAAGTGCGGAGGAAGTACGTAGATGGGATGGGTAGGTAGGTAGGTAGGTGGATGTTTGTTTTGGGATGGGATGGGATGGGATGGGATGGGGTTTTGTTAGATGGAGAGATAGATGGATAGATTGGATGGGATTGGGTTTATATATTCTTATTCTTGCTATTTTTGATCGATTGTTTATTTGTTTGTTTTGGATACATTTGTTTTTACTTTGCTCTGCTTTGCTCTACTCTACCTGCTTTATTTGTACAGTGCTAGTACGGAGTAATATGTATTGCATATAATATATATCTTCATCTACCATCCATCTGTTCCTCAATCGATCATCAAACTACGCACTTCTTACCTATCATACACTCACAGCATACCCTCCGCATCTTCCCAACACATTTTCCAACCACCCACCTAATACCCAATGGCCATCACCCACCCTCATCCCAATCCCCCAAACATCACCAATTCCCACTTGTCCCCGTCCTCGTCCTCAAAACCCATCCACAGCCACAACAACAACAAAACCATCACACTCCTCCCCGTCACCAAAGCCGATCTCCCGCGCATAGCCCTCCTCGAACATCTCGCTTTCGAAGAAGATGAATTCAGCGATTTGGCTTTTGGGAAAGAGAGAGGAAGTTCTGAGGCGCTGAAGATGCGGGAGAGACAGTTTGAGAAGTTTTTGGATAGAGCAGAGAGGGGGGGAGAGGAAGAGGAAGGGGGTTGGTATTGTAAGGCTGTTTTGGGAGGGGAGATTGTGGGGATTGCGGGGTGGAGTTTGGGGGGTGGGGAGAAGGAGGGTTCGCTGATGAGGACGGAAAAGGTGCAGGAGGAAACGAGGATCAAGACGAAAGAGGAGTTGGAGGAGATTTGGGGGAGGGGGAGTAATGTTGAATTGTGTGAGGATGTTTTTGTGAGAGGGGATGAGTATATGTTTAAGGCTTGTGGGGGAGAAAAGTGGTTGAGTATGTTTTATTATTTTCTTGCTCGTTTATATGCTCTTTTCTTCCTATTTCTGCATCATCCCTTTACTTTAGCTCACTAATCCATCAATCTTTACTTTAGCTCACTAATCCATCAATTTCTCTTCCCTCCTCTTCCTCTTCCCCTTATACTTCAACCCTCTACTAAACTCCCCCCCAGAACTCAACATCCTCGTCATCCACCCCTCTCACCAACGTCGTGGAATCGGCACCCTCCTCCTCGAACAAGGACTTAAATTCGCGGATGAGAAATCCCTGCAGGTAGTACTTGGTGCTAGTCCTTGGGGCATTGGTCTCTATCGCAAATATGGGTTTGTGGATGTGCATTGTATGGATGTTCGGTTGGATAGGTATGAAGGGGGTGAGGGGATGGGGAGCACAAGACATGTGATTATGAGACGGCCGCCGAGAGGGGGAATATAGAGAATGGGGAGAGGGGAAGAAGAATCCGGGCGCTTTGATTGTAGATTATATAGATTTGGGTTTGGGTTTGTTTTGTTCTTTGTTAGATTTTTTTGCTATTATATATACGAATAGTTGGATAGCCAGGCGGGGAATCTCCAAATAGGAGGAGAATAATTAATACATGACATTTGTGTTCGGTTATACACTTTCTTCGGCCAGGAAGCCATGTCATATCATATCATACCATCTCATCATCCCAATACCTTCCATTCAACTCCAACACCCCATTTAACACCCTCCACCACAATCTCCCAAACCGGACCCTTAATACCCACTATCCTCCCAACATCCACATCCATTCCCCTCTGCAACCCCATTCCCATTCCCTCCCCAGCTAACATAGCCCTGATTTCCCCCAAACCATCTATAACCTCCTCTCCATCCACATCTCGTACCTGTTTACCCCTTACTAAACACATTTCCCTTCCATCTCTCCTCACCTCCTCTATCTTTATCTTCGTCACCCATTCTCCACTCCTCTCTTTCCCCTTCTGCAACCCCCCAATCCCAGAGTCAATATTAATCAACCAATCCCTAACTTCCGCCGCCAAACCCCCAGCTACATATTGCCTCCCTTTTCGATGCGGAGAAAACTGTTCAGGCAAAGGATCTCCACTTCCCTGCGACTCCGCAGGATCAGGCGGACGAAATCGAGGCGGTTTGAGAAAAGTCGTCGGGCCAATACATTGAGGTGTAGATGGTACAGGAGTTGAGAGGAGAAATTTAGGTTTGCTGGCTGTGGATGAGATTTGAGTAGGTCGATGAGAAATTGGCGAAGGGATTATGGGGAGAGGGGAAGATAATGGATCTTCTTCTTCTTCTTCCAGGGTGATATCTGGAGAAACGGAAATTCGTCGCCGTTTGGATGATCGGGGATTTATTTCATAGTCTTTTGTGTCGTCTGCATTTTCGTCTTCGTTTTCGGTGGAATACCCAAGAGCCGTATCAATATCATCATTTGTATCTATAGAATCGTGAAGAGGAAGATGCGCGGGGTAATCATCTGAAGGATCATCGATATTCTCTTTCGTTTTTGTACTTTGTCGAGAGGGAGTTAAGTATCGTCCCGCGGGTGTGGATGATGGTATACCTATACTTTGCGTAGCATTAGGTTTTGGAGTGGAGGAAAATGTAAAACGAGGAGTGGTGTTGAATTGTTGGGTATTTGATGGACGGGGAGTTGATTCTTGTGCGGGTTGTGATCGTGGAGGGGGAGCTGAAGGACCGGATTGTCTTTGAATCACGAATCGATGGGGTGATGGTGTCTGCTCAGTATGTTAGGTTAGGGTTGACAGTGCAAAATATGAGGATATATTCATAGAACATACAACTGGTGGAGGCATCTTTCTTCGTTATACATATCTTGTACCTATGTATACTTCTTCGTGGCATCAAAGGCGGTGGAGAGGTGAGGTTGATACGGCAGAATGAATATGTATCTGCATGGGAGTAAAGCTTCTCCCATTTCAACAAGCATACCTGCACATCTCGATTTCGAACATGATATGGGGTAAGAGATTGATTCCCATAATACTCCAGATCATGCTAGGTATCCTCTGCACACACTCGTTTCGAAGATGAGGTGTTTGATCATAACCTTTAGTCTGCAGAACATTTCCCCGCCGCCAAATATTGATGTCATCATACATCCTTCCAGCTAAAATAATAAAGTGGGATACTGATTGGAAAAATCCCAATCATGGCCAAGGAAATCCCGTGATTTTAGCCCAGAGAGGTTGGTAGAGCTACCTCAAGACTGTTCCCTCACATCTTCCCTCTCTTGTTTCCTTCCTTCATGAAGAGGTAGAATTACTATCTTCCATCTCTCATTCTCTCTTTCTCTCTATCAATCTTCTCGTTATAAGAAGCTAGATTCAAAGTGCTTCTTGCGCTGTACATCTTCTCTCAGTCTTGAGACCTCAATTGTCGATACATTTCTATCTGCTCCATCTCACTCACAATCTTCAAAATGCCGAATCCTCCTTCAAAAATAGGAGGTAGTTCTTCCATCTTTCCTCTTCTAAGCAAGAAACATGAGATCGTCATGTTTTCCAGTACAGCCATTGCTCTCTATGGTTATGATCAAGGTATCTATCATTCCTCCTCGAGTACAACTAGGCTCCTCTCGCCATCATATCTAACACAAATCAGGAATGATGTCCCTCATAAACACAAACCGCAGCTATCTAAAAACCATGCAAATTGGCGAAGAATCTCCTGTAGTGGGTATCATCGTCTCAGTCTATTACCTAGGATGTGCAATTGGAGCAGTTCTCGCCTCTCGACTCGCCGATAAAGAGGGAAGAAAACCATCTATATTTGCTTGCTTGGCAACAACATCTTTCGGGAATTTACTCATGTTTATTTCTGGTTTCTCGTTTCATGGATCTTCGCCTTGGAAAGGTGCATCCTTGGGATGTATGATTGCTGGAAGAGTTATTATGGGATTGGGAGTTGGAGGAATAGATTCGACAATTCCGGTTTATAGTAGCGAACTTTCATCGGATGGAGCGAGAGGTAGAGCATTAGCTCAAGAGTTTCAGATGAATATTTTCGGTTTGTTGATGGCATATTCGATTAATTTGGGAGTTACTATTGGTCTGGGGAAAGATAGTCAGTGGGCTTGGAGAACTCCGATCATTGTTATGCAGATTTTCCCAATTCTGTTGATGTCTTTCGTTTCTCAACTTCCGGAAACTCCAAGGGTATGTTGCATCTCTTAAGTTCCAAAGATTTAACAGGAAATACTAATTATGTACAGTGGTTCATGAGTGTAAACAGAGAAGATGATGCTAAGAAAGCTCTTGAAAAGGTTTACGGCAAAGAAGAGGCCAAGTCGAAATTTGAAACTCTCAAAGAATCAACTGCTCAAGAAGATGGTTCGAAAGTACAGTATAAAGATATGTTTACTCCAGGTCACGCACAATTTCATCCAACCATGATGACAATAATGGGTCAAGTTAATCAAGCTCTCACGGGCTATGGCGCAGTATCTGGTAAGCATTCTCCATACCCAGTTCTATTCAGACACTCAAATTATTCCTCATTACGCACGTATTAACTCCGAACCACAGTCTACGGCCCTCAAATCTTTGCTCTCCTCGGTTTCACCACCCGCAAATCCGAATATCTCACCCTCGGAAATTACATATTCTATTTCCTCATGATGACACTTGCCTGGCTTTCCATCGACGTTTACGGCCGTCGCACTCTTATGATATATGGCAGCATCGGACTCTCCCTATCTTTCCTCCTGCTAACCCTCTTCGGTGCTCTCGCCACCTTCCCAAGTATCCCCTTCCTCGTTCCCGAAATCCTCGGCTCCGCAACCCTCTTCTTCGCAACCGCCATTTTCGGCATCGGCTGGCTCGCAACTGTCTGGTTAATCCCCACCGAAATCTATCCATCCTCAGCTCGCGCCCAGGGCTCCGCCATCTCGGTTATTGTCTGGGGATTGGCGAATTTTGCAGTGACGTTGTTGACGCCGATTGGATTTAATAATTTGAAATATTGGCTATTTCTGGTGTTTGCGGGAACGAATATGTTTGCCGGGTGGTGGACGTGGAGATATTCGTTGGAGAGTGGAGGGAGGAGTTTCGAAGAGAATATGGAGTTTTTTGAGTGTGCCGAGAGGGATGAGAGTTGGGTTGTGGGGAAGGTGGATGGGGGGAGGTTTAGGAAAATGCCGGGAAGTGAGAAAGGAAAGGGAAAGAGGGGTTCGGAGGAAGGTGAGAGGGAACCCTTGTTGAGGAGAGATTAGGTACGTGGGATTTAGATGTGTTAAGATGTATGGAGAATGAGATTGAGATGTAGATGTAGATGTAATATAGACAGTGGGTTGTGTGGAATGATATATCAAAATTTTGACACTTGCGAATTTACCACGAGACAGAATTCCAAAGAAATATATGTGTATAAGTAATGAAATTGATTAAAGAATGTAAGAGGTAAATATCTTTTCCTAGGTAGCCATTCCAAATCCACCTGTATCTCCATCTCGCAGTGATGATATTCTATCTTATTCCAAACACCTCTTTCCACCATCCCTTTATATAAAAGCTTCAAAGTATGAAGCAACGCCTTTCCCATATTAACCTAGACAAATACATATACCGATGATCGTCTAACCAGATAGTTTCCCCTCTCTAAATACATCACTTTCTCCACCCCCCATTAATTGAACCACCCGTTCCCATTCACCCATTCACCCACTCACTTACCACGTAAACATCATCAACGCGGGATTCAACGCAATGGGCATCAAAAAATGACTCACGACCACGGTACACAGCGGGAAAATCGCGACAAAAGTATCGATTCTCCAATTCCAGGGCACGACAAGCGCACACACAATCATGCCCGCCGACATGAGTATGCAAAAGAGAAAAGTGTATTTGAAGCGTTTGAGCAGGCGCGGGATTTCTTCAAAGAAGGTCACGTTTTCGACTTCTTTAGCCGTGGCGCCCCAGGTCATGTCGATTTCGAAGAAGTGGCAGAGCAGGGATTGGGAGACGTGCATGGAGAGCCCGCCGAGGAAGACGGTCATCAGGAGGAGCCATTTGAGGTTTTCGAAGACTGGTTGCGGAGGGGGAGGTTAGTGGGGGGTTTGGGGGAGAGAATGGATAGGGGGAAAGGAGGGGAGGGGGCAAAACTTACAAGAAGAGAAGAATCCTCGTTCGTTTAATCGGTATCGGAGAACCGCAAGCGATACATTACCCAAGAGGGAAAAGACAAGGATGAGTGAGAAATACACCTGGAAGGAATCGAGATAATATTTATCGTACATGCCGACATACCAACCCATGATGAAATAATTCGCAAGGGTCAGGATCCACGAGGCGCCAATCGCGTAGTAGGTACCAATATACGCCATCATGGTAATCTTGGATGTAAATCGCATATTGGATCTCAGAAATTCTCTAAACAATTTCGTGAAGGGACCGCGCGTGATCCAGAAG